TGGAATTGCACACGCCTTGGAATCCTTTGAGGTCAGCTTTTTGTTGCTGCCCCTGGCCAAACAAAAAGGAATCGCCAAAGCGACCCGAGAAGCGTCAGGTTGTTTTAAGGAGCCAAGCTCTGGATAAGGTAAGGCTCTAGATTCCAGCCTTATGGCAAAGGAAAGAAGCCAGCGGAAAGAAAGGCAAAAGCAGGGAGGTTCGCATTCCGAAGGATATCCGCAATGCTAGTGGAGTCGCATTTTTGCCTTCTGGCGGAGCCAACTGTTCCATTTACAATTTGAACGGTTGTGGCCAAACAGCAGATGGGATCGTGCAGTCGTGGTTCAGGGCCATTGATGGAGCAGCCTCGAAAGCAGATCTTGTGAACAATGTACAAATTCATGCCGTGGCGGATGCAGATTTGTTCGCCGACTTTGCGGGTGAGCTTGAACCAGTACCAGCTGGTCTACACCCGCCCAAACCGCGAAATACCTGCACGTGCGCATGGCGAAAATACCTGGGTACAATGCACAAATCCCTTCAGACTCGTGTGTTCGCAGGGTCATCGGTTGCTTAGAGCAGCAGAGTTGACCAATTGCTTTGGTGCAATCACACATTGGCTAATCCTGCAGGTGCTGTCAGGTTGGCAGAGTTGACTACATGCATGAATATTGCAGCACCTCCTTTGACACAGCCAGCCGTGCACGGCAGATCCCCTGGACCTGGGCCGTAGCAGTTGCGGTCAACAATGTTCTTGAATGACATCCTGGTGTACGCATTTTAATGACTAGAGGAGTGCTTCAAACGCGTTGTATGAATTCGTGACTGATCTTGCTTGCAGGGTTTGCCCAGCAAACAGCTTGTGTGCATTAAAAATCCGGATATTGGAAAACGACCTTCTTCAAGCAGCGCCTGCAGGGCGCGGTTCGTTGATCATCAAGCCTGTGCTTACAAAAGTGACCGGCCCAATGGACAGCGTTGGCACACAATCATGAAGCTTTTGACCAGATTGTAACGCTTGTCCAGGAGTTTTCCGACTCGCACGCTCGCTAGCCGTGAGGTTGATCACGTTTTTTTGCCACCGCTGTGGAAGCCGCCTATTATCCTTGGCCCGGGCAGTTCAGATCGCAAGTAAGTGCGTAGGCTTGCGCCCTGCGCGCCCAAGGTTGGATTAAGCCAGCCACGCAACTGCTATACCAACAGCATGACACGTCGCCACTCGTGGTGCGAGCTACATCCAAATTCCAGCCAAAGCATCTAAGCCGCCCTCCTTTTGTGCCTGAGCATAAAAATGGCCATGTCCGTGCACCCAGCGCATGGTGAGTGCCTTGTGCCCCAATGGAGCAATTCAAGACGCCTTGAACGCTGCCGCATTACATGCTCACCGTACCGGCAGGAAGCCAGTTGTTGCACACTAAGCCTTTTGTGGGTAAATGGGGGTTTAAAAGCGAAAAGTGCATCGGTTGGCGACTCTAAGGCAGATTGTGTGACGATAAAGCTCATTAACCATCCCCTCACCAGCCGTGGTCTGAGGAGAGTTTGTATCGCAAGCTGTGTTGGTTGGGTGCCCCAAAGCTTTCTGAGGAGAGTTTGTTTCGCAAGCGGTGTTGGTTGGGCGCCCCAAAGCCTTCTTAAATGTAGGGTGTGCCGTGGTTTGAGGAGAGTTTGTGTCCTAGGCTGTGTTGGTTGGGCTCCCCAAAGCTTTCTTTCGCATTGTTTACCTAGGCCTTTGCAAGATGTTTGCCGGAAAGGCACTGAAGGCAAATGAGCTGTTGCTCCTGGCTGTAAGAGCGGGCGCAGTAAGGCGCATATGCAGGGGTGGGCGGGAAACGTGTGTGTGTGTTTGTAAAATGCATATTTCACAAACAAGAAGGGGGGGGGTTGGCTCATTCCCTAAAGCGTTATCAAGCTTTGACAACTTGCTTATGTCTTGAGCCAGGCTCAGCAATGAGCGCCGGTGCACCTGCACGCCTGGTTCAGCTTAGAGCGGCCGGCGCAAGCAATGGGGACATTTTGAACAGCGCGCGTTCGTCAGGTTCACCGGAGCTTGACGCTGAGGTGTGCAGAGAAACCCAGGGCTGTGCTAAATCGGAAATTTGGAACTTTGGCAGGCCAGCAAGGCGAGGCTATTTGACAACTTCGGTGGCAGTGGGGTGAGCAGCGCAGTGCGAGTGTGTGAATCGCCCAAACCTCATACCACGGATGTGTGGCAGCCGTGTGCTCGCGTTTACTGAAAAGTTGTGACAGCTCTACCGATGTGCTGGGGGGCCACCTACGACTTGCAGTCCGCATACCGTCAGGCAGGCTTCTTCCGTGCGCATGGAAGTTTGCTTACAGCGCCGTTTGCAACCCACTTCTCATGCAACTTGAAGTTTACCGACTAGTTGCTGTGCCCTTCGGTGCGTCTAGTGCAGTGCCTGCGTTCTTGCGCGTCTCACATTCCAAATGGTGGTTGGGGCCTCGTGCTCTGAGTTTGGTGGGACCAATTTCTTTGACGACTTCATCACCTTTTGCCGGTTGCCCCATGCTGTGAGCGCTAGTCAGTGTGTTGCGAATCTTTTCTGCGTGTTGGGTTAGGGTTACGCCGACTCTGGCGAGAAAAGCTGGACAGTTTCATACTTGCTTTCGGGCCCTTGGAATTCAAGTGACTTGAGAGGTTTCAGAAAGGGAGCGATCCTGGTTGAAAAACACGGCCAGGCAGAAGGTTGAGCTTTGTGGAGACTCCCAAGCAGCCGCGTGCTTGAAATTGAAAACTGCAGATGGATTGCTTTCCGGGCAAGCCAGCAGGTTGTGCCTTAGTGAGGTGAGTGCGCACGCTTTTCTGACTGTGGTGATCGTGTAGGCCCTCGCTTGACATTGGCGTTTCGAAGATTCAGGGATCAGTTGTCCAGTGGCAAGCCTAGGCAGCTGACGCGTACTTTCGGGACCCTATTACACTTTCATGGATGCGTGCTTTAAAAAGATCGTCTGGAGCGGATGTGTGGCTTGGGGGTTATTTTATAACCCCTCAAGGTGTGGCTGTCGAGTTTTCTCCGCCTGCCTTTCCCAGGAGGGGTGTGTGCACTTGGCGGCGACGTGAAGAAACCAATCGATGCTGAAGCTGAGCTTTTGCCCTCTTTGTCGCCATTCATTTGTAGGCAACTATACTGGAAGGCCAGATAAGTGCGTTCATGTCGACAATAACTCGGCGCGGGATGTGGCAGTGTCGGGGAATCCAAAACAGGAGCGACATTGGTTTCCATCCCTTTTAACTTTGAGGTTGTATTTCCTTTTTCCTTGGTACGCAAGAGTGGCCTCACCTCAAACCCAGCTGACAGACCCTCCAGAGGAGTGCAGGGCATCTGAATTCGTTTGGGGTAAGAGAGGCGTGCTGCAAAAATGTGTTTGAGAAAACATTCAACAAATCGGATAAGATGGGGATTGCAAATAAATAATACTACGTGAATACTTGACAACTATGAACGTGTGCCTTCCTGCACTGCATTCGTGTACAACCTTGGCAGTGTGCGCCACCCTGTGTGCAACACACTGTGCTCAAAACCTCTTACAATGGTTAAAGTTGAAAAAGTTGCTTCGGTTGGTGAAGTTGCATCGGTTGGTAACTCTAAGGCAGATTGTGTGATGCCAAACCTCCCTAGCCATCCCCTCACCAACAGTGTGCCTAGGGAGGAGTCGGTGTGGGGTGTGCCGTGGTCTGAAAAAGCGCAAGTTGCGCATGGCTTACCTAGGCCTTTGCGTGTTGCTTGCCACGCACTGTGCTCAACACCTCCGGGGATTGCATATAAATAATACTACGTGAATACTTGACAACTATGAACGTGTGCCTTCCTGCACTGCATTCGTGTACAACCTTGGCAGTGTGCGCCACCCTGTGTGCAATCTCGTTAGTGTGGATCTGCATGGTTCGCTTCAAGCAAAGCGACTTTCACCTACCCCAATTGCATTGGAAAAAGAGAGAGTGCGCTTCATCAGTGCATCGGTTCAGCAGGTCTGCTCATGAGCAGTGTCGTGTGTGTTGGGGGGGGGTTTGGCTCAAGACATAACGCCGGTCTAAAACTCCGGCCCCCGCCGCACCAAGCGATCCTGGCAGGCCCTCCGCAACCCCCACGCCACCCACAGCCCACACCGCCCCTCGCCCCGACAACGCCACCACCGCCGCCGCCGCCCCTCGCCGCGCCATCCACGCGACACCACCTCCACACCACACAGACCACGCCCCAGCACGACCACCCCCACACAACCACGCCAACAAGCCCAGCGCGTGTTTGCAGTGTTTCTGTGTTCTAGATTTTCCAGAGCCAGTGTTCCAGTGCTCCAGTGTTCCAGTGGTCCAACATACCAGTGTTCCAGCGTTCCAGTCCCTCTCCTTTTGCTCAGCATGCAGCTACTTGGCATAGCCCTTACATCCTCGGATTCATTCCGAGTCATCTCAGGTCAGCAATACGCCTTGTTCTGTCTCTCCTGCACCAATGCACGCATTGCATTGTGCCGCTAGCGGCATACCTCTTACGGTGAAGGTCGAACACGCATTGTTGACCTGGGGGTATGCATGCAGGCTCCACGCGAGGGATGCAGATGTTGCGGGTCGGACACGCGTTGTCGATTCATCTGCATCCCTGAGCCTGTTACCTCTGAGCAACACCTGATAAAAAAGAGCTGAACGCTTTGTCTCATGTCCCAGTTTTGGCTTGAAGCAATGAACAGGATTCTAACTCATCAGCTTTGTTCTGATACAAACCCGAAGCTTCGCTTCAGTTTACGCCTGTGACAAACAAACTATTCAGTGAACCTGAATGCTTGACATGCATACTTATATTTATGTATGCTTTGTTGTTTAGCCAATGGTATATATATATATACACATGCTGTTGCCTAGCAAGTTTGAACTGCTTGCGCTTGTGCTGATTGTTGCGTTTCAACGCCACAGCACATATACAGGCTGAGTGGCCGGGCGTAGGTCCTGCCGTTGGTTTGCATTCTTTCAAGCTTTGAAAACGCATTCTGGCTCCTCTCGTTTGCAAAGACACAAAGCTGAACGTGCGTTTGGTTTCAGCCCCACGCGGAGCGCGTTCGTTTCTGCTCCAGATTGAGCCATGCGAGTCTTTCTACTGGACGGCGAAACTTTGTTGGAAAACCGTCGTCGGCTTCAAGAGGGCGGCAGTGCTTGCAGTGCGTTGGAGGCTCCGCTGGCGGCTCTGTTAAAGGATGCCGACGCCAAGCTGAGCGCAGGGCCTTTCTCCGTGACTGCCAAAGCCCACGTGCCGCCCAGTGGGGATAAGCGCGACTACTGCAGCCAGGGCAGGTACTGGTGGCCGGACCCCGCCAAGCCCGACGGATTGCCGTACATCCGCAGGGACGGGCAGCCCAACCCAGACCGGGCGAAGATGGAAGACGCAGGGAGACGCAATTCCATGCAAAAGGCCGTGGTCACCCTGTCCCATGCTTGGTTCTTCACGCAGCGGGAAGAATATGCCGCACGCGCTGCCAAGCTGCTGCGGGTTTGGTTCTTGAACCCGGAAAAACGCATGAACCCTCATTTGAGACACTCGGACTCCAGGAATCATTTTCCGGAAGCGAATGCACGTTTTGCGGTTTTGTTTGTCTGAAGTTTGGTCGTTGGGGGATCAGCAGAATCACTTTGAAGCTTCTGTGCCCTTTGCCAACTTTTATGTTCTTTTTGCTATCCTTCCTCATGTTTTTTTTTTTTGTTTCTTTGTGTTTTCTTCCTTTTCTTTGCTTTTATCCAGCGAATTGGTGTGAAGGATTGTTTTGATCTAAGCAATGAACTGATATGGGGTTCCCCCGGCATTTCGAAGATTTCCCGTATTGGGTCATTCGCAAGAATTCATTTGTCCAATCATTGGTTTAAAGTTGCGGTTTGGGAATCTGAACCTCAGTTCATTAGGACATCAAAGGACCTTTCACGTTGGGTGTACAACCAATTGAGCGTCTTTTTCAGGGGGCCAAATAGTGGTTCCCCTTTTGGTTCCCTTTGAAACCACACATGTGGGAAGGGCCCCAACAAAAAGACCCCCACTTACCTTCCAGCCTGAGGATACGCCCAGGGCATCCCCGGGCAGTGCGAGGGTCGCGGCATCGGCATCGTGGACTTTGCAAACCTCGTAGAGCTGGTGGACGCTGTGGGCCTGCTGTCCGGCGCATCTGCCTGGACTGCCGAGGACCAGGAAGGACCAGGCTTCAGAATGGGTCCGTCTTTTTGTCAGCGGTTGGCTTTCAAGGAGACCAGAACCGAAACCATTTTGGCAGGCGCCCCACAATGTCACATATGGTTGAGAGTTTGCCGTAGGCTTCATTCTCGATGTCCGAGATTCTAATTATTTCCTCTTTGGTTGTGCCTTACAGTGTGCGATATGTAAAGTTAGGGTGGCATTAGTCCACCACAACGGTCAGGCTCCTCCAACATGCATATGTGTATACATATGATAAATGCATATGCATATACATATAGACAGACAGACAGACAGACAGACAGACAGACAGACAGACAGACAGACAGACAGACAGACAGACAGACAGACAGACAGACAGACAGACAGACAGACAGACAGACAGACAGACAGACAGACAGACAGACAGACAGACAGACAGACAGACAGACAGACAGACAGACAGACAGACAGACAGACAGACAGACAGACAGACAGACAGACAGACAGACAGACAGACAGACAGACAGACAGACAGACAGACAGACAGACAGACAGACAGACAGACAGACAGACAGACAGACAGACAGACAGACAGACAGACAGACAGACAGACAGACAGACAGACAGACAGACAGACAGACAGACAGACAGACAGACAGACAGACAGACAGACAGACAGACAGACAGACAGACAGACAGACAGACAGACAGACAGACAGACAGACAGACAGACAGACAGACAGACAGACAGACAGACAGACAGACAGACAGACAGACAGACAGACAGACAGACAGACAGACAGACAGACAGACAGACAGACAGACAGACAGACAGACAGACAGACAGACAGACAGACAGACAGACAGACAGACAGACAGACAGACAGACAGACAGACAGACAGACAGACAGACAGACAGACAGACAGACAGACAGACAGACAGACAGACAGACAGACAGACAGACAGACAGATCGATGGATACATACATACATAGATAGATAGATAGATAGATAGATAGATATTCGAATATGAAGAAACACAGATGGCAGTATCTCGACTGGGGTAGTATTGAACCATCATTTTGCATCAGAGACTACTGGGAACATTCGCAAGCAGAAGGCCAACCATCAAGGATCAAGTCTCCGTCCCGCTTTCCGTGTACAAGGCACTGTCGCCCTCAACCGACAAGTCATATTCTGCAGCTTCCCATCCATAAAAAAGTATGTATGCTTTGCAGCACAACCAGCATATTTGGTGTGTGGAAACCTATGGTTTCTGCTAGTTTGAGATTTTGAGCCATTCAAATCAGTCAAGAAGAAGGTTTCTGCAAGTGATCTCAAAAAGGGGATCCTTCGAAAAAGCTGGCTACATAGGGCATGGTCATGTCGGGAGGTCGTGCTGCTTCAGACGCTCGCAAGACTGTCCGAGCGAACCAGGACTCGTTCAGTGGTTCACCGAATTTCTGCAGTGGCTGCAGACCAGCAAGCACGGCCATGAGGCGGACCACATGAAGAACAATCATGCGACACAGTACGATGCACAGCTGATCTCTTATGCGCTGTTTGTGGATAAGCCAGAGATCGCGCGACAGGTTGCAGAGGCGGGGAAGCGGCGGATTGAAACCCAGATCCGAGCAGATGGGACTCAGCCCCAAGAGCTGAGTCGTGCCACCAGCTGGGACTATTGCTGCGAGAACCTTCGAAACTTTGGTCGCTTGGCAAGGCTTGCGAGCCATGTAGATGTGGACCTTTGGGCGTGGACCTCGAAGGGGCGGAGCATCCCAAGAGCTGTGGACTATTTGTTGCCCTTTGCGGCAGGAGAGGTTTGGCCTCACAAGCAGTCACATGATTTTCAGGCCTGGCGCCTGAAGCCGGTGCTGCTGCTGGCTCCGCAGCACTTGGGCTACGGCGCCGTGGGGTTGCGGATGCTGCCGAAGAGCTCCGCCGAGCGGCTGCTCTGTCGTGGGAAGCCGAGCCCAGACCCGGAGCCGCTGGAGCCGGTGGCGCCCGTGGAGCCGGTGGTGGACCCAGAGGAGCCCGTGGAGCCAGAGGAGCCTTTGGACCCCGAGGAGCCGTTAGCTTCGGCAGCCGAAGAAGAAAACGGACCAGACTAGACTCAGATCGATCACCTGATCGCTAGATTTCAGGCCAAATAGACGACAGATGTGGCATTGTGTGGTTGATTTGGGCAGGATGCAAGCTTTTTTTCTTTTCTTTCTGATCCGATTCTGCATTGCTCAAGGACCGGCCATGCCTGCCTGACACACCGACCCAACTTTGGATGCCAAGCATCTAGCCATGATCATTCCCCTCAGCCCAGCAGCTTGACTCGCAGCTATACATCTTGCCCCGCGTCATAGCGCTCGTCCCATACCGAAGCCCTATGTTCCCGTTTCCCTTGTGCTGTCAATTGCAAAGATGAGCGGCGCGGGTCTTGCCCAGAGTAGGCGGGCGAGTTGAGACATGTTACACATGCGATGCTATCGGATACTAGGCAACACGAGGCAACTCTGGGCCTGCCTCAGGCATGGCTGATCGACGCAGCCAGGCGCGGCTTCAGGACTCTTATGGCGTCTCTCAGGTTTCGTTGGTCTTGGACTCGTGTTGCGCATTGCGCGAGCTGGGCACAGGCGCAGAGGGTGGTGGAGTATCACCAGGCGCACATTGCGGCTGCAGCCTCAGATCCGACCTTTCTCTCCGAGTGGGGAGGGGTGGGAGGGGCCCGTTTTGCAGGACCACCTCCTCCGTTGCGCCGGGGCAGGCGCATGCAGCGAGCTTGCTGAGACTTGAAAGCGTGCAGTGCGCGCCTCCAGGAAATGAGAAGCCCTTCCGGCATACGCTGTCCAACAGCCACTTGGATCATTTGGAGCACTTGCGAGCTTGCACATGCCAGGAATTGTATTTTCCCTCTGCTCGAAGGCGTACCTGATGCTTTTGTCACCCTCCCAAGTACTGTATCGAAGGGGAACGGGTCAATAAAGGATCCCACAACTTTTCTGGTTTTCCCAGTCGGGGGTGTTGAGTGGTTTGGCATGGGAGGACCATTTGTGGGGCTGAGGCGTCGAGCCGACGCGGCGGCCCTCGCCTTTCCAGCAGCAGCGTGTGCCTCGCCTTCCATTTACCGAGAGGCATCCTTCGCCCTGTGTGTGGGGTGTTTGAGCGTGCTGCTTTGGTATTGGAATTCCCCCATGGGGTGGAAGGGCCTTGTATTTGGCTTGGTTTCTCCGCAATTGTTCAGTTCTTTTGCAGGAAGATGTGCCGTCCCTTTGGCAAGCCCCACTGCTTCGCAGATTTGTGAAAGGTTCACGAAAAAAGGCGGCCTCACCAAATTTTCCTCTCTGTCGGTTGCCCACTCGTCGCAACGTTTGGGGTTGGGTTTTCTCATTCCGAGGAGTACCTGCTCAGCGGCGAGAAGCCCCGGCATGGGAAGGAGGTGCAGCCAGTGCTGCGCCTGCGCCAGCCCCGAGGCCCAAGCCTTTGATCGGGATGGGATCCCAGAAAGTCGGGAGGTTTGGAGAAAGCCTGATAGAGTCAGCCTGCCAGGAAAAGTCTGAGTTCTTCCCATTTACCCCGCTGGCACTTTTGCAGGAGACTTCACATTGAGGCCCAACTTCTTCCAAACGTAAAAAACAGAAGCCCAGGCGGCCGCAGTTGCACGCCCTCAATCCTAGGCGGGCAGAGAGCGGAGCTGTGGCCTTGCATTTGTGTCCTTCTCAAGCTCGAGCTCGTTTTTCCTCCGACACTACCATTGGTTTGGGTGGAATCATATTTTCGCGCAGGTTGAGTTAAGGTGTTTAGTGTGCCAGAAGCTCGTTTTGGCTAGGTAGTGTGGCTGACGCAGGCGCTGCCGGCGCGACCGCGGCACGCATCTCGCCCCGGCTGCCGCCTTTGGTCTACGAAGGCGGCCCTTCGGGCACCTGTTTGGACATGCAGGTGAGTGGTTTGTCTTCCAGGCCATCTTACTTAGAAGTCCACTAGCTGGATTCCCATTGGTTACTACACACTTCCCTGTTGTGACCTGCCCCTTCGAGTCGAACTCAGGGCATGCGAATTTGTGCAAGCCCAAAGGCCGCTATGGGCGGAGCACTTGAACGTCGAGCATGTTGTGCTGCGGTTTAGGGACCTTTTGCATGTCTCAGGCTCCTTGCTTTTGCATCCCCTATGAACTCGACGCATGTCATTTGTGTCTTTCTTGTTGTTCGGGGCTCCAATCCATTGGGGTCTCCCAATTTGCTTCGGGCATCCCGGTTCCGGCCAGGCATCGACAGCTCCCTGGCGGGCCAACGTTTGCCCGCCGCCTGGTTTGCGGAGCCGCCGCCATTGGAGGCCGGGTGGGGCCTGGCTCCTGAGGCCCTCCGTCTAGCGATCTAGGGCATAGTGACCAACACCCAGGGGAGGTTGAGGTGAGGCTGGAGGTCACTGGTTTGAGAAGGTATGTGGCATGTTGTTGCCCGTTCGTGAGCCGCGCTGTTGACTCCATTCATTTGCATCCAGGATGGGCAAGTCGACATGCAAAGGCAGGGAGGGCGCCTGCTTCCTGTAGGAAGGGTCACTCTGAAGGCCACAACTCAGGACTTGTGGCACAGAAGAGCAGACGAGATTCTTGGCCGGGGTAGACAGGTTTCTCAGCAAGAAGTGTGGCTGGAACACACCGCTTCGCCAATGTCCTCAATGCCAACAATCGGTTTGACAGCCTGGTTGTTATTGTCCTGTGCCTTTCCTCATGTTACGCGGTGCAGCACATGTAAATGTAGAACAAGTCCCTTTGCATGTGGGCAGGTCGTGTGAAGAGGACAGCCGATGGCAGTCAAGTTACTTGCCGAGCTTGAGACACAATACTATCAGTCATATTGAGCTCTATATATCATACAAGCTGCCTGAGATCAATGCTGTACCCACTAATCGCCCAAATGAAAGTCAGCATGCATGGCCTTGCACTCCTGAGGCTTGCTTGACCCCTGAGTTTTGCGGGCCACTCTGCTTGCACAGCCTGTTGCAACTGGCAGCTTTCTTCTGCCTCCAGGAGCCGTCACAGGCGTGGGATGGGGGCAAACGATTTTGCCTTGACATGACACTTGCAGGCGCCCGGTACTCACCTTTCTTCGGGTTGACCTGAAGCGAAGGCAACCTTGGATAGATACGCCTGCAACCTGCAGGGCTTGATTGAACAGCTTTTTCAAAGCATGCTGCGAGCAAGACCACCCGGGGCCATGGCCAATTGATTTGGATGGCCACAAGCACGTGCACTGGAGCTCCCTGCGAAACCTTTCCCAATGCAATGCAAGGCGACGAGCCGATCCGAGGGCAACAGGGACGCTCGGCCTTGAAAACGATGGGGAGCATGAATTTGATATAGATTATTTGCTGGGAGACTTTAGGCAATGGAAGTTTGATCTGCCTGAACTTGTGCTGCTGGCGTGACAAAAAAGAACACTGCACCTTCTGTAGGCTGTCTTTTGTGCCGGCCGGCAAGCTGCAAACGCTTTCCGCCCATTTCCGAAGGTGCAGGAGAACTTTGAAGCCCTTTGGTGAATCTTGAAATGAAAGCTGGCGCTTCGAACATGGATGATGTGATGTGAACATGTCTATTTTGCCGGCCGACATCCCTGGTTCTTTGGGAAGAAGAGATCGACCTTGTGTGGGATATCCCTGGCACGTTGGGTTGCTCTTTGTGTGCTGGGTTGAACGGCTTGGGACATGCAGTCGATTCCCTATTGCAAGCAGGGAGCTAGGAAAACCCGACAAATCGCCATGTGCCGTTAGTTTACTTGCAACATCGAAAGACAGCGAAATGATGACAGCCTTTTTATTCTCCATCTCTAAGGAGTGCAAGACCTTCGACCCGCCGCTGCGCGCCAAAGGCCGCGGCTTTCAGCAAGTGCCCTTTTCCTTTTCTTGGGGACAAAGGGAGAACCCTTTGCGGAAAGGTGATTGCTTCCCGGGCAAGCAAGCATCAAACACAACGGCAAAGAGTCATGCTCAAAAACAAACACCTAACCCTCCAATACGTGCAGTGCCTCTTCGTCACCCGCACCTTGGCTCAGTGCATTTCCCAGTGGTGGCGTCCCAGACGGACTGCGGGCAAGTTGAGTCATGCTTGCACCGCGCTGGCTCCATATTCCTAGCCCTGTGGGCAGCTTGTTGCACCGCAAGGGCAAACCATGGAGGCATCATGTTGAGCAGATCGCGGGTTGCGGTGCTTGGGAGAAGTCTGAATGTTGGTGGTTGCCCGCTGGCTTTGCGTAGCTTTGCGAAGTTTGGATGTTGCATGGCTGCGTATCCTCAGCAGCCTCAAGGATGTTTTCCCTCAAAACGCACATGTTTAAAAAAGGCGCTTGGCATTTGCCAGGCGTGTACCACCTCCCCGACGGGCGTAGCGAGTGGCGTCCCTGCTGTGCCGGGAGCCAAAGGCGTGAGGCGTGACAACATTCTTGGCCAATCTCTACGAGTTGTCGTTATGGCTATGATTGGTGAAGTTGGAGCAGCGGACCCTTGCAAACTGGTGGACACAAATCCAATCATGATGCCCACCTGCATGTGAGTCACTGGCAATATTGGTAGGACTAGCAAGGGGGACTGGGCCCCAAATTCCTCGCAAGAACCAGGTAATTTTCCCATGTCCCCTGTCCTTTGAGTTGGTATTCTTCTGGGGTCTGTGAAAAGAAGGGTGTTCAACTCATGGACTCTGTGTTGGGTCCCCGCATAGGCCCCGCACAAAATGGGGGCACGTGGGACTCCCTCGCGCAAGGTCCTGGCCCATGAGGGGGATCAGCCTGGCACTCAGGGAGCACTGGAATCAAAGCTCGGCCGGTGCAAAGATGCTTGCGGGTTTCGTATAGGTCGGTGAAGCCCTACAAGCCACCTAGATTCCTCATATTGCTCTACCGGTGTGGGGAGTGCAAGAATTCGTTGTTCCGTTCTCCACGTCATTTACGGCTTTTGCTGCGGTGGCTCCCAGCCCAAAGCCTTTGCAGGGCTGCTTTCGGGTTGCCTTCCATAAGGACGTGCCTTGCAAGGTTGCAAGATCTCGCGCCATCACTTGCCTGGCACATCTACATGTTCTCGTTGGTTTGACGGGACAACAGAAAGGGCCAATACGGACGTAAACCTCGGCCATCCACAAGTCAGCTTGGGTTTTGGGCGCCCCAGGTTGTGGAAAACTAGGATTTGGTTGCCGCTTTCTGTGATACGACAGGCATGTATGTCAGCAAAAGCGTTCTGTTGAAAGCTCCTTTGTGGGGCGTGGCTTTGCGCGGCGTCTGATGCAAAACGCCATCGCCTTCCCATTTCGGCTTCCCTTGATTTTTTTCGGAAAAGCGGGAGCCTTTGAGGGAGGCCTGGCTTTTGGTGGACATCCTGGCTCCCAGCAGCCATGTGGCCCATTCCACGAAGGATTGGGCATGTTAGGAACACATATATATATATATATATTCATATACCGGCACAAGTTGCTTGTTCCAACGGAGCAGACCATGGGTGGGACTCTGACATAGAGGTGTCAATGGCTTGGAACGCGCTGAGCTTTGCTGCTTTTTGAGCCCTTTCTCCCAACTTCATTGAGCAGCTTGTGAGTTTGCGAGAGGCTGGAGACAAGCTGCCGGAATTGGTAGAACACTTTTGACAGCAAAACCAGCCAGAAGGCCCTGCAAAATCTGGAAGACACTTCGAAAGTTGGGTTCGGCTTACTGCTGGCCCTAGAAGAGGTACTTGTTAGTAAGTAAACACATATTTGTTGATCTTATTCAAAATTTGAATAGACCGTAACAAAGACAACATGTTGGTTCCCCTCCAAAAAAACACTTTGGTATCAGTCGCGCCACAGGTTCCTGATCCAATGGAACAGCGGGCGCCAGAAGAAGGTCTCTAGTCTCCAGCTGCGCTTTGAGGGTGAGACGGAGGCCACTGGGGAGGGGGAAGGGCGAATCGATGCGATTGCTTTGGCAAGATGGGTGGCTTGTCTGAAAGGCAGATGCAGTGATATGTGGATGATTGATCGGACACTGCTGGACTGCTGCTGCTTTTGCCAACTCTTTTTGAACAGAGCTGCACAGTGGAAGAGCGCGGGCCAGAAATATGGCTGGAAGAATATCCACTTATTCCTTGAAAGTGTCAAGTTTGAGACATCCATCCAGGCTCCTTCGGAGACATGAGATTGCTCGCAGGCGGAGGCGCAGCGCAGGCACCAGCAAGCGGAGGACCGCCGCGACACCGTGGAGGCGTGGGTCGCACATTGGGGAAAAGGAAAAAGCCCAGGCAGGCCCAACAGCTTATGCAACCTCCCGTCCAGCTCCTCTACTTGACAATTAAAAGGAGTTTATGCGTGCGCCAGCCCGGAGGGTGCTTTGCCTCTAGGCCATGATGCTGGAGCAGGTTGTGGTGGAAGAGCAGCTTGGAGAGATAAGGGGGGCAGCTTCCAACATGATAGTCTTGGCAAAGGTCAATACTCACTGTCAACTTATCAAGAGATCACCAGATCATCATTGGAATAGGAGTTGCTCCCTGAATTTCCACGAGGGGAGGTAGTGAGAGTTGTCACTATGGCTCGTATTTGATCAATGCATCTGAGAGTCTGACATGGGAGATGTATGTCAATCATACGTGTGTTGAGGTGAAACTGCTCGTATACTGGCAAATGTGTCTCTAAAGGGACCCTCGACAGATTCATTTGTTTGCCAGCTTGGTTTTCTGGTCGCTTTTACCTCATGCTCTCCCCAAGTTTTCGTGTCCGCCATGTTTTTCATGGGCTCTGCCACCCCATGTCCACCCCCCCTTTGGCCCGGGCTCGGTGTTTTGAGGCTCAGCCGGTGGCAGCTTCGGGACATCGCCTCCGGGGCGGTGACCTCCACCGGAGCATCCGTGCAGCGTGCGCCCGGCACGTTCAAACTCGTTTTTTCGGGGCTTCGGGGCTCCTCGCCTTCGGTTTCAGGAAAGAGACTCCAAGTTTGGAGCAAAGCGCTCGAAACAGTTTTGTCTCAGACTCGAAGGCGGCAACGCCTCGCGAGTCGGATCTCAGAAGGAACCCTCACCGCTTTGGATCTACGTCGGATCTCGCGTCGCAGGCATCATGGACCTGGCCCAGTTGCAGCGCTACGAAGCCTCCAACGAGGCACTTCCGACAGACCCGGATGGTAAGCTGCAGCAAGTGGGGAAACACAGGGACCTGTGATACCCCTGAATACTGGCATCAACTTTCAGATCAACGGAGTCCTCTTAAGGAAACAATGACCATCCACACACATGAGAGCCTGCTTGCTTGAAGCTAAGCCGATATGCAGCAATCAGGTGGTACAAGGCCTCATCGGCGAAGCCGCAGAGGCCTATTGCCGATCCCAGGCGGGCATCCCCCAGTTGCAACTGGTCGAGCGAAGCCTTTCGTCCAGGCGAAGTGGCTACTGCTGTGGCGGCGCCCTGATCTCAAGGACCTGGGGCTTGCAACCGGACCGGCAAATATCCACGCCGATGGGCCAGGAGTACCTTGGTGTGAAGCCGGTACCACCCAGGCGCGGCTGTGCGAGAAAAACCGCATGCTCACCCATGTGGCCGGGATGCGAACGTTGCCGAGATGGGCAAATCTGGGCGACCCAGACTTTGAGCAAGACATGACTAGCGTGAATGCACAATTTTCAGATTCAGACACTGAGCAAGCTGGTAGGAGCCCACCGGTCGAAGAGGCTGGCAGCAGCTCGGCGTACACCATGCAGTCGCCCAAAGGTCTTGAGGTGCCAATGGGAGCCTTCAGGACCCGAATGAGACGCTTGCAAAGGACGTGCCACTGTGCGGCTTTTCCTGAGGTGAGCCAGGTATGCTGGAAGACGTGTCGATCCAGGACGCACGACGCCCCATCTAGACACGTTTTTCGATCTTCCGAAAGCGCCACTCTTCCGGTTGTTTTTGTTTCTTTCCAAAAGGTAGGGCATAGCACTGAACTCATATTCATGTACATTCACATTTATTTGCTCATGGATTGACTCATTCATGTATTGATTTACTGATTTTGTCGTCGAACATGACTTTTGCGGCCAGGAGCCGGAGCCGCCCAAGGCGGAGCCGCCTAAGCGCCCGCGGCCGCGGCCACGGCCCAAAGAACGGGAGCCCTCCCCAGACAGAGGCGACCCGGGGGAGGTGGCGCCTTATTGAAACTGGCAAAGATGGTTTGGTTGCCATTTTTTTTCATTTGTTGGCGTGCTCGAGCCAGATGTGCACGGCCAGTGTCTATTACATGGGTCCTTGGAAGCTGGAGCCGTTGAAGGTATTTGTGAAGGCGCGACTGCACGGCCAGTCGTGAAGAGGGATGACCCGGAGGGAGCTGGGTGTGTTGTTTGAGGGAACCGGATGACGCGTTGGTTGGGACGTTGAACAGGGGGGAACCACTCATTTTTGGGGGTCCCCGAACGAAAAACTCGAGACAGCTATGGTTCTAGCGGTACCTTCCCCATTCTTTCCAGGGATCCTTCTTTCTAGAAGACCCCCAAAACCCAGCAAAAACGGTTCCGGTTTTTGAAAGAACGATTGTTGAAAATAATGGAAATGGAATCAACCCCTAGAGTGGTGAGTCGCAGGCGAGCGCGCCGCTGGCTCCAAGGGGCCGGGCGGGGTCCGCGCGGGCCTGAGAGCGCCGTGGAAATGGGAAGCTCAGCTCGGCCGAAAAATCCGGCGGCGCTACAACCAGCACCATCCGTATATATATATATATATATGTATATATATATATACATATATATATATATATATTTGGGGAGGGGGGGGGGGAAGGGTTGGTGGCCTGGGGACTGGAACACATACATATATATATATATATATGTATATGGTCACACCCACCCATTTTCATGATCTACCTCGCGTATCTCTGGAGTTGATAAGGTACGGTATGTTACAGTATACTTTGCCGTTTTCGCATCAAGTTTCCAGAACCAGATTCTGGTTTGCGCCAGATAGACTTTATATATATATATATATATCTACAATATATATATATATATGTTCCAGTCCCCAGGCCACCAACCCTTCCCCCCCCCCTCCCCAAGAATAGGGTCCCCCAGCCTTGAGGCCCCCGGATCCCCACACCCCGCTGCTACGGTCCCCACACCCTCTCCTCGAGCCCCGGAACTCCCACCCTTGCATCCCAACATGTAGGACAACTCAACTCACAACCAACCCTAAACCAATCCTAAGCCAACACTAAACCCACGGGGGGTCCACGGCCTGGAACATATAGTATAATAGATATATATATATATATATATAATGCATATGCACGGCTCATAGGTGTGGTATGTTCCATTTTGCCCTGAGACACGAGAAGGCTCCACTTGTGACATTGAGTGTCTCACTTCCGAATTCTGACTCTCCGGACCTCCGGACCTCCGTCTCCTTTCTGGATAGTTGTTCATGTCCAGTAAAGAAAGAACGCGCACTGTAAAGACCTGAACAGTTGGAGTGTTCTTGGATTTCGGGGAAACCACGCGAAACCAACTTGCAGCCACCCAGGAAGGACCGATCCCCTGAGTTTGGGGCAATCTGGAAGAGAAGCTACTAGTAGTCTTGTCCCTGCCCCGCATAGTTGCGGGCAAATCAAATCAAGCTCACCTGGGGTAAGACGAGCTCATCTATCCGCAGAATCCTACGTTGCCATAGCGCTCACTCGCGCGCGCTCGCGCGCGCGCCCGAGGCGGCAACTTGGCTCCCAACCGCAAGTTCCGCAACGCGCCCTCCGCCGCCATCGTGGAGAAGTCCACCGCGCCCATGGGTCCGATTTGGATCGAGGGATGTTTTCCGCGCGGGTTTGGCTAGTGTCTTTGTTTTGGTGCGTAAAAAATGGAACCTGAGAAGCATTGGGTCACCCAACTTTTCGAAAGGATGTGGGAGGGAGTCCCCAATTTTTTGGGAGTGATCTCCTATTTGAACGTGGAATTAGTCAGGGGGTTCTTGGTTTTGCTTCCGCTTTTGTCGGGTGGGTTCCAGTCCTTTGCAAACATCCCCCTCCGTTAGGCTGGCAGCCAACTCGTTGCTGGGCAAAGCGGACCTGCCGCGCCTCATCCAGGCTGCACCAGGGTAAAACGCGAGTTTATAAATCCTGGGGGTTCCTATATGCAGGTTGGTGAGTCATGGTATGTACAGTGCAGAACTTTGGAATTGGTCTAATGTTGTCGGTGCACATGGCACTCAATTTTTTCCACAACAGCCAGGGATGTGACCCACCTTTTCCGTGCACAAGTAACAGTGTCAGTGGAAGTGTTTTGCTGGAGAGTCGAAGGTCTTCCAAAAAGGCTTCTTTTTTTGAAGAAAAACAAGCTTAGCTTTCTGCCTTGTGCACTTGAGCGGGCTCCATTTGGCCTTGGACCGAACCGACGCCCACAGTGGCAAGCTGACGGTGCTCCGCAACGGCTTTTGCTTGTTTCACATCGAAGACATCCGGGGCGCGTCTCCAGGTTTTCAACGTCGTGGGGCTGCTGTACTGCGAGAGTTGCGTGCAGCTGTACTGCCCTGTGCGCGGCTAGGCAGCAGTGAGGAAGAAAGGGCCTTGCATCGCCGGACGGATTTGTGGGCCTGGCAGGTGTTTTTTGCTGGGATTGCCAGGCATCGGCATAAGTTGATTGGGCGGATTCTCAGAGTGCTTTTGAAGAGAATGTCAGAGAATGTTTAGTTGAGGCTCTCTGGCGAGAACAGTGCTTCGCGCGGGTCAACGCTTGACCAATCAAGATCAATTTGAGGAGTTTGGTTTTTCTCAAGCCTTAGATTAAAGTTTCGCGCTGGAGGAACCCCCCCATCTGGTGTTTGCGATTGGCTGAGGGACACATCGCACAACAAAGAGATGAAAGGTGTCACATCCTCGGAAACCCGATCGCCAGCCAGCCATGCGGGAAATTCCCGAATGCATGAATCCCGCCAGACCCTCGTTCATGTGCACTTCAACCGTCGCATCGGCCCATTCCGCGGGTGCTCCACAACCGGCGCTTCTAGCCAGAGCGGGGTCTCTTCCCTGCAGATCCCCAAGATGCGTAAGTACAGCAGCGATGGGGACGTCATGTGAGTGGTCACCAATGCGCAAGCAACCAGGTACCCATTAAACATGTAACCATAATCGGAGAAGTGGCTGTGGGTCAAAAATGGGTATTCAAAATGGGGCCCTGGTAAATGGAACCAACGACTAAAACCTGCGGTCCCCTGATGGTTTAGTTTTGACCCATACCCAGATCCGCCCGAGGCAAGCGCGAGCCCTACAGCTTGCCCTCCTTCAGCCGGAGCCTGGTGGACGGCTTTAGCCGATCCTCCTCCTTCTACCGCATCAGCTGGCCAGCCTTTCGGCTTGAGGCCTTTCCACTTGGCCCCTGTAGCCCCCCGAGAAGTGCTTCTTTCAGAGATTCTCCCAGCAATTCCCTGTTTCTTTAAGCCCACTCCGGACTGTACCCCAGCGGGCGGTCGGTAAGGAGTCCATCACGTTGTTCTTCATGTCCGAGACCGGGGTCATCTCCCGCTGGACGCCCCGCATCAGCGGCCTCGTGGCGCGGCTCATGGAGGCGATCGCCGCGCTGCGAGCGGTTCGATCGATCGCTTCCGACGGTGGCGTCCTGAAACGAGTCCCTCAGCTCCGCTTACCGCGTGACTCATTCGCCAGACCAAATCGGGGGAAGGCAGGTAGGGAGTCTGGATGGCGTGGCTGGAGATTTGTTGCAGGCTTTCGTCTTAGTTCCTTTGTGCCATGCACAAAAGAGGCTCCCTGCCCCAGACATGAGGACACCCTGGCCCCCGGCAGTTTGATCAGCCCCAAACTTACAAGGACTCCTGCCAAGACGGTTCCAACCTCTCATGGTGCGTGCAGGCGAGCCTCCATCACCTGTGCCAAGAGCTCAGTGGTGAACCTTTAGCACCATGGTGAGGTTCTCAGGGGGCTGAGTACCTTGACCTTTGCCCGCCTTTGAAGCTTTACGAATCAGGAAGGAGTCGTTGCATTGAAAGTGCTTCAAATTTTGCAGGGCTCCTTAAAAGATCTCCATTTTGCCACCATTTGAAACATGTGGCTTTTTCAACACCAAAGTAAAGTTGGACACCTTACCATGTACAAGTTGCAATCTTTAGGTGTATAATGCATCCGGATCCCTGTTTCGGTCTCTCCGAGGCCTGCAGAACCTGCAGAAGCTGCTGGTGCTGGTGCAGTACTACGCACGCCTCACAGAGGAGTGCCGCGAGGGGAAGATGCTCACCTACATGCGCCTCGGAGAGACGGAAGAGACGGAAGCAGAGGGAGAGATGGATTGGGCTTGGGAAAAAGACAGCAGATTGGACTCTAAATTGTTCAAGCCGGAGGAGAACCAAAGCTTCAGCTGACTTTGTGAGGACGTTTGGGTCGATGTGAAGAGAAGCCCCAAGACATCTTTGTCCACTTCCGGAAACAGATGGGCTTTCTTGCCGATAGGCCGCCACCTGTCTATCAGCGCATGGCAGTGACCAACTACGAGCAGCACCCCCTCTTCCGCATTCAGGCAGCCGACGCATGGAAGTGTGTTTTGGAATGGGAACAAAGGCGCAAAAAGGTTGGCTTAGACAATCACCAAACCACATGGGGAGTTTTGACCACGGATGTCGCACAATGCTGCGCATCCGTCTGGTTGGTTGAACTGCTTTGAGCACTCTGGACCCGATTTCGCACACAAGCGCCGAGCGGTTTGTGCTTGCTTTGGATGAGTTTGGAAGGTATGGCGTTGCTTTTTGCGCTTGTTTAAGACGGGGAATGAACATGCCGCCCTCGGTTGAAGTCAATTGAAGGTACCCAAAGTGATACCTTGACAAACGGAAACAAAGACTTAAATCTGCGTAATCCTAGCTTTAACATTGAGCCACACCCAAGTTGAGCCTTTTATCAGTTTGTTTTGCCCGTCAATACTGTCGACCCTTCGTGAGAGTCCAATGTAAGGGACGCGTGCAAGCAGCAACCACCTGCTTTTGGCAAGGTCCCTTGGAACCTTTTGTTGCCGAGGTCGTTGTAGAGCGAAACGCCTCTTGCCTGCAGCATACTGAATCAGATCAGATGGGCTGCTGGTCCGTCAGCATTCACGATTGCTGTCACCCAATAACAGGCCGTGGGGCTTTGGATCTTTGAAAGACAGCAAGATGAACCCTTTGGAGGACCCACGTGCGTAAGGGAATAACGCCCTTTTTTGTGATACCCAGCTCCCTCAAGAGCCAAGGGTGCGGCCGGGGAAGCTTTCGTGCCCTCCTTCGAGCTGGCGGTGGAGAGTTTCTTCTCGAGCGCCGATTCCAAGAGCCTGGACTCGGGGTCGTCGGGGAAGACGCGAACGTCCGGTTTTTGGGCGGGTACTCCCAGCAACCAGTGGTGTCCCTTTGGTTTGCCTTTGAAAGCAACCCAAAGAGGGTACCCTCAAAAACAGACACTCCCAAATAGTTTTGAAGGGCCTTTTCCCCTATGGCCCGGCCGCTCAATCCTCCTAGCGACGCATGAGGCCGGTCTTTTGGGGCCAATTAGAAAAGGGGACCCTGACAACCATGGGACTGGAGCAGTTTTCTTCACGGAGGCGCCCGACGAATTTCGTTTTCGCCAACTTTGTATCTACTGTCCCAAAGGGACCTGAAAAGGGGTTGGGTTTCCCTTTTTTGGTCCTGTTCTTTGGGGTTCCATCAGTTGACCCCAGGAGCAGGGCATTTTTTTTTGGGAGGCAGGGTTTTGTGTTTTTTCATCTTTTTTTCTGCAGCTTTAGGATTCCGCTTGGCCTGGTCAAGAATCCGGCCAGGACATCATCATGAAGCGGCACAAGTTTGGGGAAACTGCAGGGGGCCTCAGACGGAGACCACTGGCCACTTCAAAGGCTGTCGCTGAAAGGGTTTTTTGTTTGGACGGTTCTCTGATAGTATCTGGATACGTTCTCATCTTTCCAGTATTCAGAAGAGAAGCTGCCTGCTTCTGAGAGGAATGCTTTGAAGACAACTCAACTTGCTGAAAGCTGGACAACCTGAACATTGATCGACAGAGGTCTGGCAAGAGAAGAAACAATGGGTATGATTGTAAGCGTGATAATACATCCTCCTCCTTGTTTCTTGTTCATACTCCGTGGTTCTTTGGTTACCAAGACCATATGAAACATACGTCCTTTCGGGCTGATTCTTGCGAGGGTCAACACTCCCAGAATGATGAAAGCTTCTGTGCTGGCTTTCCTGTATGTTGGCTTCATGGAAAATGGCCCCCAAGATTAGGACGCTTCGTCATTCAGAGGTACGTGCTCAAATTGCAGACATCCTGACATTGGGGGGACTTTTTTAGAAGGCGTCTCATGGAAGAGTGGGTCCTTTCTTGTATGATTTAAGGATGTGCCCACATCAGTTTCACACGTGCTTGTGTGAGAGTGTGGAAAATGCCACCAAAACAAATTAGACAAAGCAGACCCTGAGAAACTTTGGAGAGGGACAAGGGAGGTTGTGCAAAATTTGTGAAACATGGTCCAGCTGCCGATTGGCCGATGCCTGGGTAGACGGAAGCAGGAGAGTCCATTGACTGAAAGTCTGAATCTTATTGATGTCCACTTTGGGTTTGGGTGTTTTGGGACCTTTGATTCGAGAACAGGACAGCGGTTCGAGACAGGAGCACCCTGTACCCCATCAGCCCTGAGAGCTTTTTGGCCAGAAGGGGTTTTAGCCATCCTGTCGGGGAGGGCGGGCGCCCAGAGGTTCAACACGTGAAGGGCCGATGGCAGACGGACACTGCCAAGCAAGACCTCCTGCCCGACGGCAGCGCCCACGGCCGGGCTTGGGGGGGGGGGGTTGATGACAGACAGGAGGGGGGCAGGGTATGAATATAGCTATGACATGCGCAAGGAACATGATCACGCAAAAGGTTGTACATACATTGTATACATATATGCATACACACATACATGCATACATGCTGGCCCTGCATAGGATGTGGGCCACATAGCCCCAGCTTTTCCCGCCTTCAAGCCTTTGCAACAACAACTTGGCCCCCAGACCATCAACAGACGTGCCATTAGCGCTGCATAGGGCTGCGCCGTCTCTTGCGTAGGGGGCGCGCCCTCGGCCAACAACTTGGCGCTGCTGCGGAACACGGCACACATGGTGGCGCAGCTGGCGTCGGGCCGGGCAGCCAGGGAAGGAAGCCCAGGCTTTCCTGGGGACACCTTGGTCTGTTATAGGTGAGTATTGTTTTGGGTTTGTTGTCGGAACTCGGGTGACTCCGCGTGTTTTCCACTTTTCAGGCAGACAGCAAACCTTTGACCCCACGCCGGCTGTCTTTGGTAAGCCGAAATCAAGGGTTTGCACCTTCCGCTTCTTGAAGTAAGGCGAAACAGGAGATGCAACCCTGGGTCATGCAGATAGAGCCAGGAGAAGCAAGAGCTTCAGGGTTTAATGTTGCGTTCCATTTCCTCCCGAACAACTTTGATGCCGAGCCTTGGACTCGAGAAAGGTTCGGAGAGAATCCGAAAGAGAGAACTTGTTCGAGGGCTCGAGCTTGCCCTTTGGTTCCAGCCCTCGTGGCTCGCCCAGTCTTTGGCGGGCCGGTGGACCGGCTCGAGAGCGAGGATGAGGTCAGTGCGGGGCTCGGGTACATCGCGCGTGCTCTTTGGAGCAGACTTCCTACGGATGAATTCCCTGGACGGTCAGAGGTGTCTTCCAAGCCAGGCAAGTTCGCCCTTGTAATTCCGCAGGCTCACTCATCACATCCCACCATGCTGGTTCAGAACTTGCTCCTGCTTGGTGACCACGTGTCTCTTTTCTTAGTTCATCGGCCCATTTTTTTGAAAAAACTCAGCACGTGTCCAACTTGCCTCCCCATACGTCCCCAGGCGTGGATGAGCTTGTGGCGGAGCCTTCGCGGCACCAGGCGCGGTGTTTGCTGAGGCGGACCTGGGATCAGAGCAACACTGCGCCGGTGTGCCCTGCTAAAACAAGCCTAGCAAGTGACTCCAAAGGTGCATTGGGTGACCGCAGGACATCCGCGTCCTGCTGCAAGCGGGGCATCTGGCAGGGCACCTCAGACAGTTTCGCGCATCTGCAGGAAGGCCTTTGCGGCTTTTGCCCAACATGGAGCCCAGGGAAGACTAATTGTAGAGCGTGATCAGGTGACGGAGGTTGAGTCTCTTCCCTCAGGCATTCACTGCAACAGGGTGGGAAGCATGTATGAACCCAAGCCCTGCCAACGCGCCTGAAACTGATGGACATTTCCACTTGTGGACAAAACCTTCTCTCTGAATGAAGCCAAACACGGTGAGCCCTTTCACCGGGTCTTTTTAGGTGGGGGAAGCCTTCGTGGACAACAACAGGCACAGTTTTGCACCCGAACCAGTTTTCGAACCATTTGGTTTCAGTTTTTTGTTTGGAACAGCCATGTCTGAAACCGTGTCTGTCCTTTTGAGATGCCTTGACCTGCATGTGTCTCGACACCTTGTTCATACTCTTTGTTGCCACCGCTTTACTCAAGAGGGTGCGGTGGGAGGGTGTCGCTCGCAGCAATAGTTTTTTTTTTTCCCGCCCAACCCGCCCTGACTGGGCCTGTGAGCCCTCTCTTTTTGACCCAAGGGTGAACTGGGGGGATGAATCACGACCATTCCATGACTCTGGAAATGGTCAACCGGTGATTCTCTTGTGGGTGTTCCGGGGATGAATCACGACCAGTCCATGACTCTGGAAATGGTCAACCGGTGATTCTCTTGTGGGTGTTCCTGAACGACACCCAACATATATATTCCCCTTGACCTGGCCGTGAGCTGCAGCCAAAAGAGGTGTGCGTCAATATTGAGTGAGCCTGATATCATTGAATTTAATGATATACCTGAATTATATTTGTATATGATTTTGCACATCAACGATACTGGTGGGCGTGCGAGTTGTGTTCGTGTTTGTTTCTCCCCCTAAGAAAAAAGACTTTGGCTCAAACAGGAGAAATTGGTATTTCAGTCCCCAACACGTGCTGTTGATGTGGGCAACTCTTGCCTGCTTTCCTTTCCCGAGGAGGTGAAGCTAAGCGCTCACCCCACAGAGTTCCGGGAGGTGCTAGGCGCGGGCGCTGGCAATGAACTTGTCTCGTTGAAGCGGATTTGGTTAAGTTTGTGGGATCATCCGGCTGATTCGCCTGTTGCTCGTTCCTTTGCACTCTGTGGTAGATGTGAACCTGAGAGAAAGCTTTCTCAGCTTCCAGTGAGACAGAAAGATGCTCCGAACTCTGGGAGAGACTGGTATTTGTCTTCTCCATGGCAGCTTCCGGGAGGCGACCACTTCAGAAAAGTCGTTGAGCTGACAGAGACGCCTGGCAGCAGCAGTGCTGCACCATGGCAATCGGTGCACCGATCCCGTGCTACCCAGTACTGTGGAAAAACAAGGGGGGGGTTCTGGTTTTGCAGTTCCATTCCCTTTTTTTGGCAACTGGAGACCGATGTATGTTCGATTCACGCCGCTGGTAAATGGCCAGTGGGCCTCATCCACCTGTTACAGGCCCAGCTGCAGGTGGCATTCGAAGTGGTTTGCTTGCTGGGTCGCGGCAATGATGTGGAGGTGTGGATTGTACCGTTGGCCCAGCTGCACCTCTTTTGTGTTACGTATTGTTACTCACTCTAAGGGACCAGCACACTAGACATAGTTTTATTGAATCATTCATGCCACTCTTTGCATCTGGTCTCATTTCCCGATGGAAAAGCCTGACCGACGCCGATGCGGAGGAAGTACACCACCATCGACGGGTCCCTGCAGCAGGAGGGGGAGGTGAAGCAGCAGTTCCTCGCTGGGCTGAGCACGGAGCCAAGAATCTGAGCTCCGTTTTGGGCTCAGGTTCTTTGGTGCTGGTGGTTGAAGTCAGAAACTGGGGTCCTTGTCCCATTGAGGGGCGACTTTGATGGGAAACTCGTGGGGCAAGTGGTTGCATCGGGTTTGATGAACCACCACGTTGCCATGAAACTCATCAGAGAGTCCCCTTGAGGAAATTACAAAGCACTTTTTAGCAAATACATGAAGAAACACATTCATCAAACGTGTTTCTGATGTCAAGGGGTCGCAATAGAAGTTCATACATCACCGCTGACAGCCTAAATTGAGTTGTTGCGGCCGTTGTTTTGGTTAGTTCCTCTAACACCTTTGATCAACTTTGGAGCCCACAAGTGTCGATTTGTTTGTAGCTGGCATTTGGATGTGGGGATTTGAGTCAAGTCCGTTGCATGGGCATGGACCTCAAGCACCAAACCCAAGAACCCGGACATTCGAGCAAAGATAACTTCAAGTTGCCACAGCAATAGCTGAACTTTTGTTTGTTTTCTCCGGATCGATGCAGGATTTTGTGGGGGTGGCTCCAAATGGAGCAATGTCCCCGCAAAATGGGTGGCTTCCTTTCGGTGTTTCTCCTAGACCAGTCCCGAAGGGCTCGCAACTCGAAAACACACTTTTGCTGCAGCCTCAAGCCCAAGCTCTTTGCGAACTGGAAAACAGCAGCGCCGCCCATACGGCCGAGTTGTAAATGGGGGCGCCTTTTTTCTACATCGGAGACCTCCCCCTAAACAACAAATGGTGGTTGTTCCTTTCGAAAGGGGTACCAACTCCAAAAAACAGAAACACCCAAGCTGTCTTTCGTTTTTACCCCCCAACATGTTTGGTTTCCTTTCGGTTTCCCTTCAACGAAACCGAACCCAAAGGGGCACCATCCGAGTGACCGAGGCTCGGTGCAGAATGTCTCGAAGCTGCGGGAGGACTTCGAGGAGCACATCACCAGCACGGAACCCAAACGGGGCCGAGTGGGTGGCTGAGGTGAAAGCAAAACTTCAAGCAACAGGTGCGTGGAATGATATATATATATTATATATATATACAGATACAGGTCAAACACACGAAACCAGGGTCCAAATATGTATATATATATATAAGACACCCGATGCGGCTTATATATATATATATGAAGAAAACAAAGGTTGGGTGTCTTGCTCTAACTCAGGTGGTCTTTCGGCTGTTTGGATCACTGTGGCAAAGTTTGGACTTTGTGCCTATGGAGCCCTGGTCCAGGCTTATCGGGGCCCGCTCCAAACCCAAACCGGATGTGTGGATCGGCGGGTTTTACCAGACGTCTTAACCCCCCAAAAGCCATTGGTCTCCTGTTCCCCTTCAAGCACCAAGAATCCAGCAGGGTGGTCCCCCATGTTCGGAAAATCCCATCCGTTGTCCGGCACAAACAAGGGGGCCCTTTCCAAAATGGCGCTGGTGCGCACCAGCAAAAAAGCCCTTGACTTCCAGCATCTCCCACCAGGAAAAAAAGAGATGGAACGCCTCTTTTGGACCTATTCTCAGTGATACCATTCAGTAGGCAAAAAAGGGCACAGCCCTTTACAAACTACAATGTGAATGGCTGCAACTGGGATCTGGGTGACGTCTCACTTCCGTTGGACCCGGAACTGAAGAAGCTTTCGAGGCCAAAAAAGCCGGGGACTTTCAAAGCAGGAGCCTTGCGAAACAGGACTTCCAATGGTTTCATCCCCCTTATGACCCGACGCCGACCAGCTTCTCTCCCTTACCGCGGGTTCAAGTGCAGTATGTGTCATATGATTTCCTGTCAGGCTGCTTCTTCCAAGCGCCCGAAGTGGTTTATGAGGCCTGCGTGGGCCCGCTTGCTTCGACATGGGCGAAATGGGCTTGTCTTTTTGCATCCGCATCTCCTTGTTGGGGAAGCCCAAAGCCCTTGTTGGGGAACTGATGACTGAGCCCTTTCAGCGGCAATGGTTTTTGTTCGGCTTGCGAGCACCCCATCCGAAGGGGGGCTCCTGAGTTGACACCATCATCTTGCCTGTTCTTAGGGCTGATTTTGGGAATCCACATTTCAACCCAAAAATACCAACAACTGTTTAAGGTATGGATGTGTCTCAGAATGAGGGAGCCTCCTTCAAAATGAATGATGCTCACTTTTAAGCTGACCCCAAAATCCACATCCAAGATGTCAATTGGTTCACTTTTTCGGTTCCCCGTTTTACATGCCAGGTGCAGCGGTATCAGGCACTGCTCGGCGCCCCAGCCCGGTCACGTCGTTCCTTTATTTTTTTCTTGCGAGGCGCATCGGAACTACGTGGCTCGGAAGGTCAATTTGGCGAGGCTTTTCCCAGAAGGATCAGTTGGAGCACTTTGAAAGGGACCTGGACAGAGGCTGGCCCTTCAGCCACCCATTTGAAAGGCAACCTTGACCTCTCAAGAGGGAGCATGCAACATTGTAAAATGAATCCGCCTCAGAAGCAAGAGCTTAGCGAGTCGAGTGACATAAACTTCTTCACAGAGCCCAACAAACTTGAAGCAACTTGTGGGCAGTGAGCCAGCGTGTTTGCCTTTTCGCGAGGCTGCAGCGCTTCGGGCGACAAGAAGAGCAGCTCAGGAAGATGCCCAGCACTGAGTCGCGAGTCCGATGTCCGGATTGTCCGGAATGACGCGACTGTCACGATACGATACGGTGACAGCTGGATTCCCAGACGCAATATTTTTTCATTCGTCGAAAGGTGACACTTGGCACAAGCATTTTCATTCTTTGGTCGTCGCCGTCTGGGTGACTGACTGCATCGATAGGAGTAATGTATGTTTGCCAACAAGGAGAGTCTCTCACGTTGCCGCCAGGGCTGTAGAAGAGCTACTGCACGCCTTTCAAGAATTGTTGTTCTGCAATAGTCTACTTCGACTGACCCTGGAGCTAGAAGCTGGACTGGGAGTATTCCAACTCGCGCCAAGGCTGCATATTGACCTGCAGCCAGAGGCGGGGCACTGGAACGTTGGCCCTTGGCCTGGTGGATCTTGGCACTGGTTGCAACGCAAATCAGGATTGGAAGAGCAAAAGGGACCAGGAAGCATGAGTTAGCCCCAAAGAACAAGGACACATATTTGTGCTCAGAGAGGACAAGGTGTGCTCTGATCTGGCAGGTGTGCCCCGATAACCAACCCCCAAACGGGTACCAACTCAAAATACACTATTCAGAAGCGTCTTTCAGACGCTATGCCGCACGCGACAGGCCCATTCCCCCGACCGGGCTGAAGGCCCGCGCTGGAAAACGAGAAAACGGGGTCGCCGGAGGTGTCCCATACGGGCCAGACCCTCGAAACGGTTTCCTTTCGCCATCCGGTCCCGGGATTTTAGCCTTTCAGTTGGTGTGGTCGTTTCCACAAAACCCACTGAAAGTTCATACTTTTAGCAGGGGATCTGGGAACGGCATAGTTTTCGTGTGGTTTATTGCGCTCAGATCCTCGTGCTTTTCCTCGGGGGAAGGTCCAATTTCTCAAGGTCTGTAGCTTGAGGTATTTGCGAAGTCCTTGATCTTGTTTGAGTCTTTTTGTGGGGATCAGCATTCCGGGTATGCTGAGCCCTTGATGGTTCCTTGACCGTTGCTTTGATGTTTTCTCCTGATTTCCTTCTGCAGTCGACTACTGTTGTAAGCGGAGGCCTTCCGGCCCAAAGGCCGTTGCAGCGTCAAATGCTTTGCTTTTGCCAGTGCCAAGTAGAACAGTGTGGCCTGGCTCATGCAAAGCGCTCGCAGGGGAAGATAGTGATCTTGATGAGGCCAGTGAGGCAAGGGTGATTTCGGAACTGGGTCTCGCAGGGCCAACAGAATGTCATTCCCAATTTGGCTTTCGGGCGGGAATGCCGTTGACAGTCTCACTGTGAAATGCATTTGCTTGCTTCAAGCCACTTCCAAGCTGCTCGTGATCCAGATTGGGCGCATTCCTCGTGAGATCCTTTAAAAGATTTGTCACGCCACCAGATTGAATGTCTGAACTTCTCAGCGGCCTGTGATCTTTGTTGTCATGCTTGTATTCGCAGCAGTTGACTTTTTGAACACCAAACATCTTTCGTTCAGTCGTGGAGTTTCACCAGGTAGCCAGCCAGTCGTTGCTGGAGCCTGACGGGCGACGAAGCGGGGTTAAATTGGTGCCACCTAATTCTTTGCCTGGAATCCCAACCCCCCGTCTCTGACGCCCAGCGAACCTCTGGTTTCCTCCAAACGGTGGCCTTGAGCGACACGGGGGGTCCGGATGCTATGAAGGGTGGTTTTAAGCATCGGCTTATGGAGAGTTGTCAATTTGTTTGGTGACTTCCCGCTGGTATGTCGTTTAAAGGGGACTTACGGGGACATGTAAAAAGCCATGTCAATGTCTTTGGATAATCAGCATTATCATCTAAAGCTTGATCCAAAGCATTTCTCCCCCGAAAGAACGACAGAAGCGCAGGTAGCGTCTCACTACAACCGCTTTGCCCAGAGCCATTCAGGTCAGCCCACGTTGTTCAAACGTTACGCGGGGGCTTGCCCAGATTTGCAGAGCATGATTCGTCACGACATTTGAACTTGCGCCCCAAATTGTTTGTCAGCTGCGAGCGCTTTTTCACTGTTATCCCTTGTGCCCTTGCCATACTCCCTGGCTTGATGCTATTGTTTTTCTTGGTCACCATCATGACCACCACAGGTCATCGGTAGTACTACTACTGCTACTACTACTACTACTACTACTACTACTACTACTACTACTACTTCTACTTCTACTTCTACTTCTACTTCTACTTCTACTTAGACTACTTCTACTTCTACTTGGACTACTTCTACTTCTACCTTTACAGTTCAAGACTTCCAACTCTGGGTGTTGGGGGGGGAGACACCTGGAAACAAAAAAAGCGTGCTTTTCTTTTCTTTTTAGGGTTCGGGGTGATCTGTTCAGGTGTAGAGATCTGACCACCCGATTTCAGATATGCCGCCCTCGTAGATACTCATTTTCTCTTGGGTAGACTCCTTGAATACTGGGAGTTGGTCAGGACCAGTATTTTTCGTTGCATGTCCAAGGCCTGACGCGGAAAACCGTGAGGAGAGGCACGGAAGACAGCACGGAGCGTGGGGTCAGTCAGATGGAAAGGGCGACAAGCTTTTGCCAGGCCAAGGGGAGGTCCTTGAAGGCGACAAAGCAGTGAAGATGGGACACCCGTTCAGCTACTTGTCCTGGCTCTTTGTGGCACGTGTTCAGTGGGCCTGGGAAACAGCACCCTTGCAAAACCTGAGGTTCCCCTTGGCCAGAGAGAGGGAGACCAACCTTTTGGCCTTTTGCCCTTGCACTTGGCTCCGTCGGGTGACGAAAGTTGTTGGCAAGTGTTGGCCTTGGCTTCCGAAGTTGTCGTCCAGCCAAAAGATGTCATCGCTCGATAAAAGAGCTGTGAGCAAAGACTGGGTAATTGGAGTCTATGACGAAGTTGGTAGGGCCATTAAAGTAGAGGCGGCTTGAGGCTTTTGTTTCTTCTTCATCATGAGCTTTGAGCATATTCCTGTGCTATTGCTTTGGCTTGTGAGTCAGTTCTGCCATCAACCCTACAATAACGACCTTAGATTAGCATTTCGAAGGTTCATGCCCATGGAACCCTGTCACTAGGTTTCCCTTTTTCGAGGAACATTGTCTTCCAGCACCACCCAGTGGGTGGGGGGGGGGGGTATTTTAAAGGAACAAGGCCATTGTTCAAAGTAAGGCAGTGTTGTGCTCGGATTCCGCACAACAGGTTTGCCCTCGGCATTGTGACGCTTGGGGCCCAGGAGCGCCAAACCACCTGGTTCGTCTGTAGTGAATGGCCTGCGATTCCAGGTTCGGAATGCGTCAGAGCCCCATGGCATCCTTGCAAATGCCTGTGGCAAGTTCCTTGTCCCCCACCCCTATTTCATTGCGGTGGTTGTTCGCTCGAGACAGGAACGGAGCTCCCTCAGTGATCCTTGCTGTCCATCCCGGCCTGAACAATGGACCAATGAAGTGGATTGTTTCCTGGTTGGTTTCCCTCCAAAGCCATCCAACAAGCAACAAGCTGCCTATCTGGATCAGCGTGTTTCCCCCAGCAAACCTGGGGGATTTTGGGAAGCGCCCATATCATCGGAGGCCTGAGATCAAGACTCGGTTGACGCACTCGCGGCGAAGCGCCGATCTCCGCTGGCTGGCTCACAGCTTTGTCCATGGAGGTGGTCGCGCGAGTCTTCCGGGCCGAGCCGGCGAGTTGGCTCTTCGGCCTCAGAGCCGCGTCGCCTCAGCGCCAAATGTGTGCGAGTTGCCTCCGCACGGAGTTTGACCGTCTGGGTGTCGTGACACGCCAAAGCAGCCTCCTTGTACGAGCGCACGACCTGGTGACCTGCAATTAAGCTGCCCTGGGGCGGTTGAATCGGGGTTCAGCGACCAAGGGGGTGCTTTGAGCCAGGATGCATGCCCCACGGGCTTCGCTGAGCTTCCACAGCTGAGGGAGGCCGCTGACGGGTGGGATGTGGGGCACAGGCATTGAGCTTCTGTTGATCTGTTTTTGCCACTTCATGTCGGTCTTTTGGCGCCGGCCAGGCTTTGCTGCGTATAGCCCAGGCAGGTGGGTGGGTTGAGCAGATTTCGGCTGCCGCCTCCGCTTCTGCTGTTGCGATTGTGGTCGTGGCTGTGGTTGGGCTGCAGCTGTCGTGGTTGTTGTGGTTGTCGTGGTTTTTTGTTCTGTTAGTCATCATTGTCGTTCTCTTGGTCTTCTCGTCGTCTCTGTCGTGGTGTTGGTGGTGGCAGAGGTGGCAGCGGCGGCGGCAGTGGTGGTGGTTGATATGTTTATGGTTGTTGTGGATGTGGTTGTGGTTTTTGTGTTTGTCCTTGGTCGTGGTCGTGGTTTTGGTCATGGTTGTTGTGGTGGTTGGTGGTGGGTGGTGGTGATGGTGTACGCTGCCGCCGCTGGGGCAGAGGCCGCACTGCCGCTGTTTGTCTTTGTTTCTCTTGATTGTCTCGATGCTGTCGGTTGATTTTCATTCATCCCCGCATGGCCTTGACGCCTGAGGAGCAAATCAGCGCCGACGCCATCAACAAGCTGGTGGATGACGCTGCACAAGGCGCCCAGCCGCAGCCCAAGCTCCTTGCATTGCAGTTCGCGGCTCGACCTGCGCATTTGTCTGCTGCTGAGTTGGATGTGGCCGAGGTGCATTGAGATAGAGCAGTTCTTGAAGTGGCTGTCCGACAACTCCATAGGCGCGGCTGATAACATGGCGCGGGATGTAGCAGGGTTGTCCCTTTACTACGTAATTGGAAGAACACATCATGGCCCCGAAGCGTCAGATTCTGATTGGAGGTAAAAGGGGTACTTCTCTATCGCCGCTTAGGAGTCACGACGGACTACTTGGCGGGCTTCCGGGGCAGCACGGGCGCCTGAGTGAGGCTGCACGGAATGCCTCAAAGGGTTTCCAAACTGCCTTCAGAAATATGAGACATTTGGACCCAAATAACCCCCAAATTGGCCCAACCCAATTCGCCTCCGCTGAGCGGCACTAGCCCTTGAACCCCGAACTTTTCGAAGAATACCTCATGGCTGAATTTCCGAGGCGCGCCCCATGTGCATCAGCTGCATGCGCCGGCGGATCCTCGCTTTCTAGGCAGCATCGAGGAGCAGTGGATTGCGAGGGGCTCCTGGATCTCGCCCGGATTCCGGTGGATAGTATTAGACATTTCCTTTTGGAGGGGTTCCTCTAGGTTGTCATTAAAAGGGGAGTGACCCTGTTGCGTCCTCCGATGGATCTTGTGAATCAAAGAGGCAAGCTGTTTCACAACAGGTCTCTTCAGCGCGCTCTTGACTGGCCTGTTGCGTGGCTGGCTCAGGAGTTTAGGGAGCAGCACAAGGATGATGCGATGGCGCTGGACTGGGCTGGAGGTTGCTCTTGCAAAGGCACTTTACAGAATGGGGTATCCCACCCCATACGTCCTCCCGGAATGAGGGTACAAGAGGAATCACGTCTAGGGGGTATGTCCCTGGGTTGATGAACCAAAAGATACTCAGCCGTTCTTTCAGGAGAGGCTCCGAAACACCGTGAAGATTTGCGGGAGCTGCAGCAAGCCCTGCGCCGGGGACAGCATGGGCCGGTGGGTTCGGCTCGTGTTTTGTTTGCAAAGGTTTTTCAAGGAATTAAAGGGTTCTCGTTCCATACAGCTTCCTAAGTACCTCGAGCGTCAGCGACTCTGAGGTTTTGGGTCACTAAGACCAACACGGGAGTTAGGGGGATTCCTGGAGTTTTCAGGTTCCCGCTCTAATCCGCCAGAGTCTACATTTTCGGGTTCACCACCGCTTGCTTTGGCTACAATGAGCAACTGACAATTTGGAGGATAAGAAGGGGGGACAAGCCAGTCGGTGGGTCCAGGTTTCTTAGTCGAGGTTTGCCTGCCCGTGTTGCTGAAGCGTCAAAACCCGTTGATAGCCACTGCTTTGGCTAGTCAAAGCAATCATCCCATATTGATAATTGTGCCAAGGTCAAAAGACCCCTTTCCTTGGGGTTATCAGGGATGGTTCACCTAGTGGTAAGAATTGTTAACCATCATTGTGAGCAGTTTTGTCCTTGGGGAGCAAGCAACATTGTCCGCGGGCCCTCCCAGGTGCCTTCACCCTTTCTAGCGCCTCGGCTTTTTTTTTCTTTTCCGGCGGAGTCTTGGCTACGACCAGTTGTCGTAGATCTGTCACGAGACGCCGATATAAATGTGTGAGATGGGGTCGCAAGAAGCTGATCTTCCAACCTCGACAGGTGCTGTGGACGAAATCCGTTTGGGCCACCGTCCAGAAACCGTGGTTGAAACCATAACGTTTGTTGGCACTTACGGCCAAATCGAATCATTCCACGGTTTCTTAGGAGGTGCGAAGGAACGGACTTCGTCCATCCATAGGTCTGTGGGAAGGGTAGTGGTTGGGGCAAACTTCAGATGGGTGGCCCCGCGCCTCGATGATCCTGAGCTTCAGGTTGCAACGCCTGCGGCACCAGTCTCAAGGAGCCGACTTTTTAGACTTCTGGGCTACACCCCGACCAGTGGTCCTTTTTAGTCCTCAAGGCAAGAAGACGGTGTGCACCTCCGCAAAGAATCAGTTGGGACACTGCAAAAGGGGGGGGGGGGGGGGCTGCAAAGCGGTTTGGCGCCACTGGAATGAACATTGGCAGAAGAAATCAAGGTCACGACCCTTCTTATGACCCCCCCCCCCATTGATTTTGCTCGTGCCTGAAAGCTGCAGGGTGTGTATTCCGCCATTTTTGCAGGGATGCTTGCAACCCTGTGTGTTGGAATGACCTGCGAATCACATGACTTAGTATGGGTTTTCTCGAATTTACAAGGTGATTAGCTCTGACCAGCTGCTCAGCGTTTGCGCGGGCATTTTTTTCTTCTTTTTTCTGAGGGCACATGGACATGAAGCGCAGCAAGCCTTCAAACATGGAGACTGACATGACTTGTCGCAAATCATCTGGGAAGCCCAAACCCCCACTCCGTCGGTTGTTTAAACAGGTGGTTCTACTTGGTGGTGGAATAAGGATTATATTATATAATTATATATATATATATATATATGTATGTAGTAAGAACACCCCCCGCCCCTGAGTCGGGCCGAAGCAGATACCCACAGTGGCAGCAGTCTCTATGGCCTTGGATCTGTTTCAGGCAAGAACCTGATGTCTGACGGATCAATTGCACCGCCAGTCCCTGGTACGTGTATTGTTGGCATTGGTGCACGCGAGCTCCCTTGTCTACGGCGTATGCAGTGAGTGCAATACTACTAAAGAGAAGGTCCTTGGGCTACAATGACAAATGTGTGAAAATCGATTGCCAGAAGGTCACTGGTTGGCAAAAGCACAGAACAAACGGACATGACGTTTGGCACCAAATTATAATCTCAAGGCTCTATACCATAGCCATCTCGGACATGTTGGCTTCGTCTTGTATCTACATAGTTTGTACAAACTGAGTGCAACTGAGTTCTGATTCGCGCACGGAAAACGGCAGCAAACGTAGACACCTGATCGTGCCCAAGAGACTTTGCATCTCATGAGTTGTGACGATGCAGTGGCTTAAAAAACAAGGGCTGGTGCGTCCTAGTAAAACTTTCGACTCACTCACTTCAGAAAGGATACGCTTGTAGGCGACCGAAATTGATATTGCACCTGGAATAGAAATCGTCCTGTAGACGAGTTCACAAGAATTAATCTCGCGATGCCGATTGGGTGTGTCGTTGTGCGAATTCGGTTGCGAATTCGGTTGGCTTGAGGAAGTGGATCGTTGCGGCTTGCGACCGCTGGTTCTGATTTTTGCGCTTGAAGCTCTCGGAAGAATATCCGCTAAATCCTTCCACTGTCTCACACTGTGCGAAACCTCGCCCCAAGCCCAAATGTTTCTGGGGTCGTGTTTGCCTTCGGGCAACTAGACGACAACACCCCCCCCCGCACCCCACCCTCCCCAACCCCAAAATTTCCTGGGGTCGCAAGCGCGGTCGTCCGCAAAAACAACCCATACGGATTTTTCGCATCCTACCCTCCAACACCGGGTTTTGGAAGATGAAACAGGGGAGGGACTGTGGAAAGAGGGTCTTCTTCATGTAGCTCTGCACAACGGCATGCAGCTGGTGGGTCTGTAGGACGTGCAGCAGTCCTTCAGCGACAACATCTTCATGGGCTTCATTTACGGCGTTGCGAAGGCGGGATAACTTTTCCGTGAGCTCGCCTTGAAAACTTGGGACTTCAACTCGAAGAATCATAGGGAGCTGTAAGCTGCGTGCAAGAAGTATGGGGGTGCATTCGGGTTTCATGAAACTATGGTGGTTTCCTAGTAGCTTCGGCCACCGATGCTCACTGCTGGAGGGTAAGTTCCCGTACAAGATCTCCATGCGCGCCTGCGCCTCAGTTGATTGAATCTGCAAACCGAATCTGCAAAGAGATGCCAAAGGGATGGCATTCCGAGGCGCAGACTCCAGACTTCCTGTGCTTTGATGATCCCTTGCAGTGCTCCAACTGCCACCTCAATGCGCCTTGACACGATGGGAGTACTGCTTGGGGCCTGAGGGAGGTCCAAATCCACCATTCCGGTTCATGCGTCAGCTAACCACGGGTGCTGCTTATGGGAGAGTCGGGGCCCCCTTTAAAGGGGCCCCCTTTAAATGTACACGTCGACCCACCGGGGAGGGAGCAGCAGGGTCTTGAGGACTTTCTCGTTGGGCTAGGCGATCCCGACCTCCGTGTACTGTACAGACCTGAGGCAGGGCAATGGGGCTCGGGCAAGACCCTGGGCCCATGTGCGAGCTGTGGTCTCGTTTAACCCCCCTTGGGTTTTTACTTGATCGAGCGTTTCCTGGGTGGGGCAGTTGCAGGCCAGGCTCTTCTTTGGAGCCTCATTTTGCCGTTTCTGCCCAATTTGACCCTTAGCAAGTCTGGCAACCCGCCTGCCGAGCTCCATTTGGAAGACTTGCTCGGGTAACTCGAAGGCCTCCGGCCAGGTATTTGTTCACCAATCCTCTCCGAGGCCGGGGGGTCGGTTTTGCCGGGCGGCAAGACCTTTCGGAGGCAAGTAGACTCGGAAGCGCATTGTTTTTGGCTCGACCTGAAGACCTTTCGGCTTTTTGGAACATGCTATGCAGTCCTTACTTGGCAAATGTGCATCTTTGCTGCGTCAGCGCCAACCTGGGGGATTGCAAACACGAGTCTTCAAAACAGAGGCCACAGGAAAACCGACCTTGGAGAACGGACGAAGAGCGGAGGTGCTCAAAGCTTGCAGCCGGGTTCGTCATCCAAACAATGTGCAAAAAATACATGTTCCAGTTAAATGGCCAACAAGGTTTGAGCCCCAAAATCGAGCCCCAGAAACTATGTTGACCCTCCCATTTTGTATCTTTGGAGCTTCAAACTTTGGGGGAACTTGCCTTTGGCGCTCCTTATGCCACCAGTGCCCGCCGCCTTCTCGCAGGCCTCGAGCTGGTCAATCAGCTGCAGGAGATTGCGTCCAAAGCGGCGCTGGAGCAGCAGCTCGGCCCACTGGGTTCGGTCAAAATCGGTTTCTGCTTGCCAGACTCGCATGTTGCATTGGTTGCACATATATATTTATATAACACGTGGTTCAATTATGCAATCAATGTAACCAATGGATATAATATTACCCACGTGGTTCAAGTATGGCCCCCTTTTTGTACTCAAGTAGCAGAGCTGCAGCCACACTTGACAGCAGGGTTCAGGTTTAGGGTTTAGGTTTAGGATTCAGGTTCAGGGTTGGCAACTCATGGGCCAGCCATGCTGTTACCGTTGCCAGACTAAGATGTTTCATATTTAAAATATTGCATCTTGGATTTTGCAACCTTTTGGGTTTCCGTCATTTCCTTTTCAACCCGTGTGCGCAAGCAACTCACACAATTTCCCGCAGCCGAGGGTTTGTCGCTGTTATGTTCCCTGGCCGCGGTGTGTGCTCCAAATGGACAAAAAGACACATATCCCATTGCCCCATGTAAAGTTTGCCAACGCTATGGAGGATATGGGGCACCCACCTCCCATGTACTTATTTCATCTTATTTCCCGATTTGAACATTGTTTTGAACTCTTTTCTCGTCTTTTGGCTTGTTTTCATGATTGAGGCACCTCTTTTTGACGCGGCCAGTTTGGCAATGTCGTCATTTGCCTACTGTTGTTTGCAGATTCGTGATACTGACAAGGAGCACACTAGCTGATGTCAGAGCAATTTCGACCATTTGCGCGGTCATTGGTCTCCACACGCGGTCATTGGTGACGCTGTTGGGGAACCATGCCCCAGGCACGGGTTGTGGCCATGAGTTGCGGGCCGAAGTGATCCACCCCGAGGTACTGGAGCCACGAGGCTTCCGTTGAGCGGGGGCTTGGCCGAGTGGATCCACTTCGGACGGATGTGCAGCTTTCTGCGAGAGCGAACCCAGGCTTTGCCCTTAAAGGAGGCCACCAGTTGGATGGCCTATAACTTCTAAGGGTCTTCCCCCATACCCTGCTGACCAACTCAAACCAGGAACATTTGAGGGGTACTGTAGCCTATGTTTGGAACCCCCCCCCGCCTGTGCAGGCCTTCAGAGAGAAGGTGTGGGCCGGCCAACCAAGGCGGGCACAGAAGCACGGTCGGGAGTGTCAACACCCGTTGGATCACTTCAAGTCTGTGGTCAGGTTGGGTCGGGAAATCAGGGACTCACAAAGTTCCCCACCGGAAACTGTGAGACTCACTCGTTTTTGCATACCCGGATGTTTTCGTCCGCTTCTCATTTTGGTTTCCTTTTGGTGTCCTTTCGTCCGCCCCAAGAGTCCACTGCGTTGGGTTCGCGGAGCCCCAAGGAGCCCTTTGACTTCAACAGCCCGTGGTCAGCTGGATGCGCACCTTTCCAGAGCTTGCAGTTCACACGGTTGGTCACGCCGGTAATTAGGGCACTCCAAGGGTTCTATGGAACCATCAGAATGACGGCTGGAGGTCATGAGGCCTCTTCGCGAAGCAATACTTCACCGCTCTTGGCAGTTTTTTGTTCATTTGTAGGGGCCTGCAAACAAAATCAGGCCGTTCTTCCAAGCCCGTGCCAAGGGTTGTGACGAATATCCTCCCACCAACTAGGAGTGCAAGAAGGCCAACTAACCAAGAGGGAAGTCGTCTTTCTACAGGGGTCTGTGCACAAACCCATGAGCTAGCTGCTGGGAGGGTAATTAGGCTTGTTGTTTTTTCCTTTCCGATTGGTGGCGCTCAGTACGCCGTTTGGGAGGCCTGCGACCTGGCAGGCGCTGGAGGTGGGCTTGGAGGGCTAGGGGGCTGGTTTCGGTGTGTTCGAGCCATGGCGTTTGGTGGGCTCTGAGTGTCAAATCGATTGAGGATTGGGACATGGCATACATGGCCTATTTTACGTTTCAGCTAGACTCATTTTTCGCATGCCCAGGGTGGGCAACCGCATAGTTTGACTGAGTCAACGCCCAAAAGCCGGATCCAGACATGGTGCAGCGGTCTTCTTTTGTGCGACATGGCTGTGGGTAGACGCCGCTTCTTTTGATAATGACTCATGCCAGCAGTGCTAAAACCGCGGGTAGGACGAATCTATGTGTAGGGAGGAGTTCGGCTTCCCGATTTAATAGGATTCGAGCGAAGCCTATGCAGACCTTGACTGAATTGTTAGAATCCAATGTCAATAGGTTTCAAGTTCCTTGGAACCAGCCAGAGCTGTTTTTCTATGGATTCCTCAAGTGTTGCCCGGGGTCCTGCGTGTCCATTTCTGGAACGACTGGTGTCGCCAGCTTGTGGGCGGAGTACCCTGCGAATCGTGGCTGGCATAGCCCATGCTTTTTCCAAGAGGATCAGGATTTCAATTTGGAGGAAGGGGGTCAAATGGGGGCTGTTGGCGCAGATGTCTCTGGGAAGGCACCACGTTTCAGGAAATCCTCCTTGGTCGGGTTTTGTGTTTTGTGACCGTTTTGGCTAGCCGCCAAAACCTTCATAAAAGGAGACTTCGGATTCCGGATCTCATGTTTCGCCAGGAGTGGGCAGTGATGGGCTTTAACTTCCCGCCCTCGATGTTCCAGCCATGGCCTTTCAAAGGGGCCTTTGCGGCCGTTGCGTCGAGAAGTCGAACCCCTTGAAAGGTGAGTCAATGTTTAGAGCTCAGTTTGAAGAAGCGGAGTCAAGGAGTCAACAAGGCTTTGCACAAAGCTGCAGTGAAGGAGTCGTACACTCATAGCTCTTGCAACGCTCACCTTGGATACCTTGCGCTAAGGCTGCACCTTCAGTTCATCCACATGCCACTGCTGCCCTTCCACTACCACCTGCTACAAAGCGCCCTCCTTAAGTTGTGAGCGATCCGCTGCATCTGCGCGGTGCATGCGTTCTCTGCCTGTTGCCGCGTGTTCAGTGGCTCTTTAGATCTGGAGGGCCAGCATGTGACGCGCCCCGCTACAAGGTGGTTGGTACCCAGCAGCCAGAAACACCAAGAAGATTACGCAGTGGTAAGATGCTCACAACCCCCCTCCCTCCTCGCTTGAGATTCATGTCGAAAGATCCCAGGTGGTGAACACTTTACCCACGGCCGCGCGGCCTCCCAGCTACGGGTCGCCCTTTTCGAATTGGTGGCCACGGTCTTTGTTTGCAGATTCGCGGAAAAAAAAACACACACAATTAGATGTGTGAGGTTTGTGAGGTTACCCTTTTCGAAGGTTGTTTCAAAGGGCAGCCAAAGGCGAAGTCACTATTTTGTGGGATTCCTATTTCAAGCCCAGAGGGCTGAAAAAGCCACTGCGTTCTCTTGATGTGAAATGGGCTGCGGGTTTCGGGCAGCCACAGTTCCGAGGTCATTCGAAGACGAGGGATTATTTTTCTGGGGGGGCGTTGATGCTAAGGAAGCGGGAAGACAATTAGGTTTCAGGTTCGAGGATTCCTACTTACCTACTTTGGGACATTCTGCTGAGTTGTCTTTCTCGAGGTTTCTTCCCTCTGGTCTACATCAAGCAGGCTGGGTTCCAATCGCGCCCCTGCGCCGTTGGGCTGCTTGCACCTTTTGCATCACCTCACGCGATAAGTGAGCCCTCAGGCTCTCGCGCTTGGCGATGCCGTGCGCATGGAAGGCACGCGTGAATTTTTGTTTGCGTCGACTTGATGCAAAGCGGGTTGGATCGATCATGATCGATCCCGATTTTTTTTTGGTTGCTCCACGCTCGTCTCTCGTGGGACGCTCGGCTCGCGGCTCGAGTCTCGGCGCAGGCGGGGTGGACATCGGAAGCCTCATGGCCCGGGTGAAGGCCGCGGGCGCCGGGGCCTCAGAGGCCCGTGAAGGTTGAGTCGAAGCTTGGGCTCCAATAGATGGCACTATATGGCACATGGGGCAGAACCTATGGCGAGCCATTTTGGGGTGGATGAACATCCATGACATCCATTTGCCACCTATTTGGATGTTCACAAGGGGTACAGGGTTTGGACCCACGGCCATGGCATCAAAAGAAGTTTAGAATTCCCCTTCCAAGTCAAAAAGGACGCTGTGCATGAGCCGCAGACAATTTGCTGGCACAAATACAGTTGGTGTTCAAACAAGCAGGGGGCCCGGCTCAGAACTGTGCCATGGGAGTTATCTTCCTTTGTTCCAGCCTTTTGGGAATCAATACAGACAACCGCTTCTTCCCATGAGCGCCCTCCCCTGGCCCCTGTCGGGTCTAAGGTGGACTACGATCAGATCTATGCCGCCGGTCGCCCAGCGGGGCCGCTTGTTCGACCTTTGGAATTTGGGCATGCCATCGAGCCCGGCCGAGGCGCTGATCGAGCGCTTGCACGTGGCTTGGCAAAGGGGAGGAGGGGAGGAAGGCAAAGTTTTTTTTTTTGGGGGGGGTGGGCTGGGAGGCTTACAGCTTGCGTTGCTCGGCGAGATTGCAGATATTGCCTGCCATATTTGTGCCTTCACACAAGGTTCTAAATCCAGAGGAAATCAAGCAGCCAGCGGGTTTTGTTGGCTACCCTTCATTGGATGATTCCTGATGTGAACGCATGCGAGAAACCGATGTGTTCGAAGTGCTATAATCCCATTCTTCTTGATCCCCGTGGCCCGGGCCGAGGCCATGCAGAAGAAAGTGTCGTCTTGGAGCGAGGCGCCTGAGCGAAGGACATGAGATGGACAACAAAGCGGGCACCGAGATGGTTCCTGGACTCTTCCATCAAGTCGCTAGATATGCTTCACCTTTCTCATCGACAAGCACTGAATTCATACATATGTAAGTACATACAGACACGTTGGCCATATTTGGGCTTTTATTGTGCGAGCCTGTTCAAAGATGGATACACAACAGCTTCACATATGATTTAGAACTCGACCACAGCAACCCTAGCTGTTGAATCTGAACAACTCTCCGAGAGTGCTTCAAAGCTTGAGCACTTGTGTCTCAGTTTGCGGAGATGCAGAGCTTGAAGTAACCTTTCAGGGCCTAAGCTTTGTTCCAAACAATGCATGGGCTTGCATGTTCTGGAGCTCTAAACCTCGAGACTAAGCCCCAGAGAAGGTTGACTTCAATCTGGGACAACTTGACCTTGCAACCTGCCAAGCAGCGGTCGTCTTGCGTTGCTTGCTGCCTGAAGCCTCTATTGTCTTCCTTGCGGGCATAAAGAAGCACTGTGCCACCAGTCAACGCTGTGTCATTGCGACACTTCACGCAATCCGATCTGCAACTGGCATGTGCGGGTTTCAACTTACAGAATGCACATCCAAGTCTGAGTCTTTGACTTGACCGTCTCGTCCAGGCATCCCATGTAAGAGAACCAGAGACAGGAACCTGAGAAACTCCCCGGTTTGAAGCCGCGGCTACTTTGCAACCCAAGCGGTAGTCTTGAGTGATGATGGTCCAGGACCTTATTGGTTCCTCCGGCGGTTTTGTCCCCAAGCAGGTTTTTATGTGCTTTTTGACGAGCTCTCAGTCCTTCAAATGGAGCTTTCATTCCTCCTACATCTGCAGAGGGTTGTTGCTACGGCTTTGACGCCTCTAGGTGCCCTTTGGTGATGCTTGCACCATTCGACTGTGATCGTTCGTGCCCTGACGTTTGTTACACAGACCATCGCGATGGTGTCTCAAAGGCCATCAACATGGGCCACACTTCTAGACCTGCAGCTGCCTTTAACCGCCCCAACCGGCTTTTTCGCGTTTCGCGTTTCGCGAACCGTGGCCGGGGCGGGGCTTTGGTCAGGCGGACTTCCGGTATCGGGTCAGCAGCGGCCGGATCTTCGAGGGGCCCTACGAGCGCCACGAGCTGGAAGCCACACAGGCCGCGTAACTCGCTTCGGATTCGAAGTCGAGCGCTGGAGTCGGATGTGGGGATTTATGGGTCAAAATGAAAGCACCGGGAAATTCACCGCAGGTTCTAGTCTTTGTTTCCCTTTCTCAGGGTGCGATTTAGGGTACCTGGTACCTATCATGGGATTTTGGAGGTTGAGAAACCATTTCAGCGCTTCCGAAATGGTTTGAAACAAACACAAGAAGCAACCATGGGGCAAGCTGACATGACTTGGAGGCACACTTGAGAGAGGCAGTTGAGGGCCGTTGGAAGGGACCTCAACTCGTGGTCCTTGAGTCGCAGGTGCAGAAAGGCGACAAAGATGCCCATGGCCCAGATTCACATGAGAGAAGGATCCGCCCTGGATGTTGCCTGAAACGGAAGCCAAAAAGGAAGAAGTTGGACACCCTTCACTCACTCTTTATCGAGGGGTTGATTCATCCTGGGTCTGCCATGCTGGGTTTCCTCTTGGTTTTCCAGAGCTTCTCTGAGAGAGGTTGGTTCCTACACAGCAAAGCCTTCGAAGTGTCTCGCATGAGGCGTTACAGAACTATGGGCGGCCCTACGAGGATGAGAAGCCATCAGGCGTGCAACCAGCGATGTGGGTATGGGTCAAAATTCAACTACCAGGGACGGCAGGTTTTGGTCCATGTTTCCATTTACCAGTATTCCATTTTGGGTACATATTTTGACCCACAGCCATGTGCAAAGAGCGGTGTGCAACCGGGGCCCATTTCCGGAGGGACTTCGTCCATGTGCGAGTCTTTGGCTTCATGCTCCGAGCTGAACAATTGTGTAGCACCTCCGAATCAGAGGAGCTAGCTGCGCCTTCTGATTGTAGCTACATTTGGTCCAAGAGATGCCCTTGGTATCCACCAGGAAGGGCTTGCCTTGAACATCACTTGAATCCCTGTCTCTCAGCCCATGGCATTCGAACCTTGCAGGCACGTACTACAAGTTTGCCAAGGCCGGGACCCTTGGATCCCCACCGAAGATGCGTTTCTGAAGATGCGGGTGAAAAGGCAGAAAGAGAGGGGTCAGAATTGAGGGGCAGGCAGCAACAGGAGCGTGTTTCGGGAGAAGGTTTTTTTTTGGAGCGATCAATCATTGGCGCCAGTCGCTGGCGTGCATCCGGCCGATGACACAGGGTTGTCAAAATATATATTTTACCCTGCAAGAGCTTCCAACCGCTTTTGCCTTGACACGAAAAATAAGCACGCACAAAGGCGAAGGGAGTTTCGAGACATCGCCCAATACTCATCATTGCTCAGGATAGTAAAGGGGATGACAGAGGCTTCTCGCCACAATCCAGCGCCCTTGGGGGTGACAATGAATATGAATCGCTTTCTGGGTGGCCAGTATGGGAGATTCCCAACCCAAACATAGAATCAGCTCAAGGGTTTTGGGCTGTTCAAATGCAATCCGTGTGCCTATCCTTGGATTTGTGCACAAAAGCATTTGCCGACCCTCCCTACATGGTTGCCTGGAGCTATTTCAATCATCGCTTTTTGGACCGATTTTCAGTGAGGTTCCTTTGGCTCGGGTGATGCTCAACGCCGAAATATGCGCTGAGCTCACCAAGACTTTTTTTTTCTCCGAGTGGAGCGTAGATAATTTTTGACATCTCCCTTTCAGCCTTGAGACCCCTGAGACCCCTGTCGTTGTGTGACATGTTTGTCGACTTGGCGCATCGAAGTTTCCAGGATCCCAAGGAGGTGAGCAGCTTCGGGGCGTGAGGCCTTCGGCTGGGGCAGCCTGTCTTGTCAAGTTGCCCTCGGGCTCTAAGTTGTCTGAAGTCATGTGCTTTTTCTTCCGCTCTCGATCAAGACCTTGGCTTGCCAAGCCGCCGGACATGTGAGTTGCTGGGCTCATGCGGCATCGATCCAAATCCCTTTGCCTGCGAACTCCCGAAGCGTCAGGTTCACAGCCAGCGACTTTGCCCCGAAGAGCTGACGCACCGCGCGTGCCTGTAGCTTATATTCAAATGGGACACCCTCACTCGCCGCCTCCCGAAGCAGCCGCAAGTGGAACAGCGAGTCAACCCCTCGGACCCCAAAAGGGGCCTGAGTGACCTGAAAAAAAAGGGCGGTCCCTCAGTATTTGGACGCTGTCCGGGTTTTCTGGGTTGCACAAGTTACACTGGGAGTTTCGTTTTCCCCTTGGACAGCGGATTTGCGAGCGGTTTGCGAGTGAGCGGCGGCCCCTCTCGCGAGCCGGGCCGGCGCCTCGCCGATTTGAAGTTGGTTGGGTTGCCTTCTAAAGACCGCGGTTCACCGAAAATAGGTCGTTTTCCATGCAACAGCCACGAGTTTGCCGCTTTTGTTTGAGGGCTTACCCTTTTTTGGACCGGTTTGCCTTGGTAGGGGTATAGCTGTTGTTCAAGGGTAGCCGCTTACTGCTTCCTTCCTTCCTTCCTTCCCCCCCCCCCTCCCTTTACCCTGGCAACGGGGGGGCCCTTTCCCATTTCAATATGCATGAGACCAGAAGTCAGACAAAAAGGTAGGGACGGCGGGAGGCAGTGGGTAAGATTTGGAATGATCTGAGTGGGATACTTCTACAGGTCTGCTGGAACCCGCCCTATGGATTTGATAGGCCGTGGTTCCAAACCTCATACGCAGCAACCTTTACCATGCCTTGGCTTTTTTCCCCTCTGTCTGGCAGTGGTAGGGGGGTTTGACAGACAGAGTTTGCTTTTGAGAGGAGCATGACAGGGTTCTATAGCACCGGGCGCTTGCTTTGACCTTTCTTGGCATGAGAGCCGCAGTCAAATCTCAAGCAGTTGGAGGAGAGGGCATTTCAGGTTTTGTTTTGACCAAACTGGCCTCCATCCCCCCTGGCCGTTGGGGCAAGAGCCCCTAGCCAGACTGGACCAGACTGGACCAGGGGCTGTTTGAAAGGCCAGGGTTTGCGCTTTTGGACGGCGGACCCGGACTCGAGCGACCGAGCGGCCACACAGGGCTATTGTCCGGAGCCTCCCTTGGCAGGGTCCCCCTTTCGTCTTTCACCGCATCGCGCAGAGCGAATTCTCACTTTCTGGGCGACTGGGCTGGACTGGGAGCCTGGAGTGGGATGGGTGTGGAATTGGGGTTGAGTTGGGTTGTGGAGTTGGTGGGTTGATTCGGGGTTGGCTGTAGCTTTTGGTGGCCTCTTGTTGTGATTTGCGCGGGAGCGCTGGAAGAACTGGGACTCGGGGTCTGAGAAAAGCGCCACATCCGTACCCCTTGAATACCCCGACTGAAGCTTTAGCTTCCTCTTCAAGGGACCAGGGTCCAGTTTTTTCTTCTTCTTCTTCATTTTATTATTATTATTATTATTATTATTATTATTATTATTATTATTATTATTTTCTTTCTTTTTTTGGCGGGAAAGACCCGTCTTGGATTTTCAAGGAAACCAAAAGAAAGCCTCATTTTGAGACCCGCTGCCAATTGGCCACGGACCCGTTGGTCCGGGGCCCTCGGGCCCGCGGGCGCCTGCGCGGCGAAACGCCGCGGGTTTCACCCCGCGCCCGGCAAGCGCACGTCGGGAAAGCCGGGGGCCGGCAGACTGGAGTCGCGCGATCGAGAGAAGGCAATGGGCCCATGGCCGTTGCAGCCTTCGAGTGTGTGTGCGTCTATGGATACAACTGGGTGCCTGACACATAATTACACATATACATATAAATAATATATATATATATATACATCTATATGTTGTACCAGTAGAGCGGGCTGGGTTGGGGGAGAGGGGGGTGGAAGTTTCAAACATATCGAAACCATTGTTTGCAGCTCGCTTCCTCATCCCAGTTTTTAAGGGTCAACCCCACAAGAGTCCGCAAAGTTGCGCAACCTGAAAAAACCCTATAAAACAAACACAAACACAACCATATTTTTTAAGGTTGACCCCCCAAAAGTCTGAAGAGGATACACCGTTTCGTGGCTGCGAAACAGTGCGCGTGCATTACGTTGCGTTACTGCATTGCGTTGCATCACATCACGTCACAACATTAGATCCCCTCACATGGCATTTTTTTGATATTGCATTACATCACATCACATAGCGTTACATTCCAGACCATTTCAGTATATATATATATATGTATATCTACACATGTGTATTTATATTTGCAGACGAGGCAGGGGTGAGTTCCTAGGGTATTGGTTGAGGGCCGCTCGGACGGCAGTAGACTTGCGTCAGAGTCATGACCAGACTTGCGCTTGTCTTTGGAGACCCAAACACTAGATCCAGGTCATGTTCTCTCAGCGTCCCTTCAAGCAAACCCCTCTAGGGAATTCTCAAATGACATACTTCACGTTTTAAACCTAGAGGCAGCTTCTTGTTGTAGCATTTGGTACTTTGCAAATTCGATGCAAAGTGCCAGGATTGTATGATATCGTCCCACTCTGGGCTGCGACCCCCATCGACGTGTGGTGTAAAGCGCCGGGGCGAGCTGTTTTCGGCAGAGAAGTGAAGCGGACGGGCCCATGTGGTCAGGTGCAGAGCAGACAGATCGAGGAATTCTTTTTCTTCTGCGCAACTCTGTGCTGGTTGGTTTGTCACTTTTCCATGGTCGTCAACGGCAGTCATCGGATTCTTCAGCTCCCGACTGACTTTGAGCATAAATAATGGCGCTTGTAAGCAGACCATGTTCTTTTGGACGTTGGGATGGTACACATCAGAGTTTCCCTCCTTGTTTACCTTTGGACATCCTTCCTCTTCAGCCCAGTTAAATCTATACAGATATACCATAAACTATGTTTGCTTTGATACTTTCAATATCTTACCCCCGTGAATTCGACAGCTCACCCGTCAATGGATTCAAGGGGGCCAGTCCGGGAAGCAGGATTTGCACACTGACCAGGCCCTTTGCCTTCGTATCGGGGAAACCCGTCGTGCTACTTTTGGAAAAAGTGTCACACGCAGAGAGCGGATTGCTGCACTTTGTTGCCCCGTGTTTGGCTTGGCAGATAGCTGCTCCCCACGACGAATTCCCTTCGAAACCAGGAGAACCGACAAGGACATTGACTTCTGCAGCAAGTTCAAGTTATGTTGTGCCTAAGCATCACCTCACCAACAAAGGGGGGGTTTTCAAAAATCATGCACCCGCTTTGGGCTCCCTCACCCGTCCATTTGGTGCATTGTTTGAGTGCCTGACGTGTGCCAAGGTCTCCACTGAATATTTGTGGCCCAATCTGTGAGACAGATCGAGGCTGCTTTTTGTGTATGTTTTAGGAGAGCGGGCGGCCGCCAGACTATCCACCTGCAATTGAAGAGTCCCAAGCATCCTGTGGGCTCTCTTGATTAATTAAAACTTGATACTTTTGGTGAGTTGGCCTGATATGGCAGTAAGGTCCTTTGGGTCGTTGGACCACAAAGAATCCCGCGTTGCCCTGAACAGCTGTGTGGGAAATCAACCCCTAAAAGAGATGCAAACATGGGCGCTATGTGCGTATGCAATAAGCCCTTAGCGTGGCTGGGCGGGTCGAGGTCCATCGATGAGCTCCGCGACCACTTGGATCGCATCGCAGAGCCGGCGTCGCTTGGAGTGCTCTACTAGCCCGCATCTAGTCGTTTGAAGGGGTCGCGGGTGGGGGACATGGGTGCTTGGAAAGGCCTCCGAAGAGTGTAACTTCTTATTTCCACATATATATAAAAATACATATACACATATATGTATACCCACATATGTGTATGTAATATATACAAAAAACAGGTACACATATGTGTCTGTATGTATACACATTATATATATATATATATTTCTATGTCTATATATGTCAAATCTCCCGAAACGAGCCAAGCTCGAAATGTCATTGCCAGGACTCCTGGGCGCAGGAGCTGAATGAGGCACAGGCGGGACGCCCAGTGGTCCCTTTGACCAACGGTCAACCCTTTTTCACGGATATTTGTTTTTAACAACCCCATGGATACTTTGGCGCATGTTGCTTGGATGTTAGGACTTTAACAGCTTTTTGCCAACTAATGGGTTTTCCGTTAAACCACTCAAAGTTCAACTTTTAGCAGGGGAGCAGAAAGCAAGCGAGGATAGGGTGCTATCAATGGATAGGGGAACAGCAGAGGGAAGAAGCAACCCAGGTGCAGGAACTGACGCCAAGAGTGACCAAGAGGACGCCTGTTTCAGGGGTCCAAGCTTTTTTCTTCTCCTGTTTGGATGCTTCAAGCACCAACCTGTGGGGCTATTTCAAGGTGAGTCTCGTCTTGGTGGGGTGATGTTCTTATGTTGGACCCTTGATATCTTAGAAAGGGGACCCCCTCCCAAACTGGCTGGTTATTTCTGCTTGCACTGTTTTGCCGCAACAGCTGAAAGCTTTGGGGTCTCAGCCCAGATAGGCTCCGGGGTGGTCCGGGGCGGCCCTGAGCGAGGCAGAGAGTAGTTGAAGCCGTCTACCCGCCAGCTTCCAACTCCTTAGCGCAGCAAAGCTCCAGTGTTGTGGAGCAGGTTCCTCGTCGATTTTTATTTGCCAACCTGCAAACACCAACAGAAAACGACGCGACAAAAACCGACGAGCCGATTGCGAGCGCAAGTTCGAACGAGCTGGATCCTTTCGGCAATCATTGAAGAGGTTCCAACTCAGGCTTCGATCTTTCTATTTTGTGTTTGTGTTGCTTCTCCACGTTGTTTTCTTCGAAAGACTTTTTGACCAAAAGAAACATATTTGCTTGACATTTGGGACCCGAGGACCTCCCTGAGCGGCACCTGGGGCTCTTTGCTGGGGGCCCAAGTGCCTTTGGGGTCCCGTGCCACGGGATGGGGAAGCCGAATGTCAAAGATTTGGACCAGACGCATCTGTGGTTTCCCTTCAAAAACCCGTCTTGCCGGTGTGCCAAGGTCAAAACTAGAGCCCTCACAATCAACGGGTTTGTCTCAAGATGGTTTCGGACCGCAAGATGGCCGAGGAAGTGCTTTCCCGAGGTTTGTGGGGTTGGCGAAGTTGTTTGTCAAGCAGCCAGTTGCCATGACCAGACACGACCTATCGGACAGAATTGTGTTGGCCAAAAGACGAAGTTGATTTGGGTCTCTTTCCCCGGGCCGAAATACTGGCGCCGACTCGGGGATTACAATCAGTCTGTGCGACGTTCGGCCCAACCAGCCCAACCAGAAGTTGCAGCATATCTGGTCCACGAGTCATGGAGCAAAGCTGCAGCTGTCTTATGGCTTCCCAGCCATACCCAAGATTTTAAAGATCTCTTGGGATCTCATGGGATTAGATCCAATAGGCGATATAACAGTGATTGTACCCTCTATAAAGTGTCCATATTCGATCAACAGCGGAACTAGGGATCCCACGGGATGCGCAAGCGAGGTCGTGGACGTGACGCCGCTCCGCAAGGCCGAGAGGGCTGGAGCTTGGAGAGGGAGATGGAGAGTTTTGATCGGATCTTGTTTGGAACGGGCAGAGTTGGATTATGGTCAATCTTCGATGCAGTCGGCATTGCATTCCGCGCTTTAAGAACATGTGGCCAGGGAGGGCGTCTGGTTGACGATCCCCGTTTGCGTTTCTGTTTTGACTTGGGCGAGTTTCCAAACATGCCGAGAACATGAGTTCCTCTTGGATGGCTGTTGGAGTGGGCTTGGCTGTAGGGGGTAGGCTTCCCAAAAGAACAACCTGGAGCACAAGGCGCCCAAAGGAGACGCTGGCAGGGTACTGCTTTTGGTTCCTTCTCTGGGAGAAAGTTTTGCCGATTGAAGCGCGGCAGTAGAGTGCAATGGTTGCAACTGGCAGGAAGGGGACTTACAAACATGGGGTTCTTAGCCCATGGTTACCAACCGGCCAAACTGAGTATGGGGAAGCTAGGTTCAAACAACACCTGGCCTCCCGAAGATTCCTAAACCAAGTTCCTTTGCGAACTTGAGCAGTACTACTGGTGCAGGTTGGGTTTTCCAAGTGGTTATCCTTTCATGATGGACGGTGCAGGTTTGTTGCTTTTTTTCTCAAGGACCATTCTTTTTTATTTCATTTTTACATCGGAACCGAACAACACAATGACCAGTATTATCCTTAGGAGTAATCTGAAGTTCAAATTGCTGTTGTGCACCCCTTAGTGGGTAGCCCAGGGGTTGCATCCCTGGGTCCCTGGATGGTACCCCCCGTTTGCTGAGAAACCATACCCCGTGTTGGCTACCTCACAACTATGTGTGTGTACAAACACGTATGATGCGACATGATATCATATGATACAATATGATACGATACGATATTTTACGATACTGAACGACTTGGTATGATATGATATGAAATGCTATGAACACATATGATAAACCATGATATGATAAAGCACAACAACACACAATGCAATACCATGCAACACAATACAGTATAGAAGGACACGCTATGATACAATATGAGGCACTGTACCATATTACAATACAACATAATATAGTATACTGTAATACAGCACAATACCTGATCTAATCTAATATGATGCACTATACTGCAATGTGACAGGATATAACATGATATGATACAAGACAGCACGACAAAACATAAGATAACACAAACGGAACGACACACCGCATCACACAATCACATAACATAACACTATATGATATAGTATGACATGATATAATGTAATGTAGCATAGCTTAATACAATATGATAACATGACTCAAAACAATATACTACAGTACGATACATTATAATATTCTACAAGATAATACAATATACGGTGCACTACAAACTAATGTAGCACAACTACAACCATACATGCACACACGCACACACACATGTATGATACTATATCATATAATGCGCACACACACACACATATGCATCTTGAGGTACAACTTTAAACTTTTTTGGGTTGCTTGAAGCTATTCCGGGGTATCTCGAGCACAGTCCTTGGGGTCTCAAGGCAGTTTGGGGCCACCGAAAGGGCCAGGTGTTTGGAGCCCATCCCCATGGCATCATCTTTGCCTTGGTCCAAGTATGGAGTCCAAGGTCCATTGAAGATGGACGTGGGGAACTCCAATTTTCCGACAAAGCCCAAACTCTGAGTTTTCCATGTCCACTGCGCTAACAATAAACTTTGTCTGTGTCTATATATATATATGTATATAGAACCATATATATATACATATATATACTTATATATATATATATATATGTATGCATATGGATTTCTTCCATCCTTGGCTCCGATCTGATTTGATGGGCTCGCTCCGCCAGGCCTTGCTGGCCATGTGCGCCTGCTGCCGGCTCAGGCAGGCGCTGTTTGAGCAGGAGTGCGACAGCGCGCAGTTTGCTTTGTGGTAATACAACAATATTTGATTTTGGTCTTGTAGAAGTTTCCCCTGATTTTGTAATACACTTCCAGTTTCCAGTGATTTTGGTTTTGTAGAAGTCTCTGGAAAGTCAGTTGTGAATGTGTTGAACGTTTCCCTTCGGGATTGCTTCGGGGTTGCTTCGGGGGAGTCACAGCGCCAGGTTGCTGGGCGTGGTGCAGCGCTGGCTGGAGGACGCCTGCGCGCGGCCGCCCAGACTTCACCCGCAAAGCACACCTTCAGTTTTGGCTTCCCGACAAGGGTTGTGTGTGTGTGTGTGTTTTTTTCTTTTTCAGGGGGCACGTCAATGGTGCTGAATAATTACAGTGGACCCCCTAGAAACAATAAAAGGCTATATATTCCCTCATATACCCTATTTCCCTTGTATAACCAGCCGCACGCCACTTCTGCATTGGAACCTTTCCAAACGTTGGAGACAGCACGAGTAACTTGTGTGTGTAAGTTGCGCCTTTGTCTATTTGTGTCCACCCAGAGATTGACCTTTTGCGCAGAAGCGACGCAGCGTTGTGACACAAAGCGGCTAGAGTGCTTGACAGTTCTGGCCACGTGCCTGAGGCCAAGCTGAAAAGCTCCCTTCAGGCAGTGAGTTGGCGGGAGTTGGAGAGAGCGATCTGGGAAGCGTTTCCCGGCCAAGTGCATACCCGGGCAACTGACAAAGTTACTTCATCGTCGATTGCTAGTTTCAAAGACACGTGGAGCCCGCTCCAATTTCCCCCATGGACATGTCCTCTTGGGAAAGCCAGTAATGTTGTTTGGGGCTCACCTGTTGATTATGCACGCGTCAGACCATCCGGTCTGTTGCCCGTACTGGAGATCGGAACAACAAGAGCCCCCCCCCCCCCCGCCAATAGTTGCGTGGGGAATTGATTAAGTCCTCCGCCCCAGGCACAATAGACTGCTGGGCATTTAATTTGACTGAAACTCGTTTGAGCCTCAGCTAACACCTGGGGGAACTGAATTTCTTGTCTTGAACTCCGCGGGGAGTTTGCTTCGCCTTGGGGAGGCACGGCCAACATGCACCTTCGACTCATTTGAAGGGGGCTTGGCATCTTTTCACGTGCTTGGAGAACCCCCTTCCAGGGAAAGGGTCAGGGAGCGAACAGCCACGACAAGTGTGTAGTTCTTCTCTTGGGCCTCCTTTTGCGGACACAGAAAGTCGGACCTCTTTGATGGCTCAACTTGAAGGCTCAGCCACCATTCGTCCGACTTGTTGGGTCCAAGTTGCTCGGGTTTCACAAAAGAGGCAAACGCTTTCGACAGGTGAAGAGTGGTGAGATCGTGATGTCCCCGAAGCAGCCGGACGAGCTTCACAGCGCCATCGAGGCAACTTCCTTGTCTCAACCGTCCCGGTCGGGCTCCTCCAATGGATCTAAACTAGATTTTTTTCGATGATGATGGAAGTGGACACAGGGGTTTCGGAAGACTACCATCATCCTCGAAAGTTTTGTTCACTCTCACGACTTTGGGAAAAAGGTAATGCCAAAAAGGGGGCATGGGCTGCCAGTGAAAGTCAGCCAACTCTTCGAGGCACACGACACTAGCGCTTGACTGTCACAGTCTGTTGCACCAAGAGTGGCACCTTAATTCGGTCACCTCTTGCTGGTGCATGCCCTGCTTCATTTCTGCTTTCTGGTAGCTGCCGATGTGCTGTGTGACATAGCCAGGAAGTTCCAGTTTGCCTCACATGATGTGTGGAACGTAAGCTGAACAGCACGCAACACACGGCCACACGTGAGCGCTACGTATGTTGCGACAGGCTGTGTTTATGATGGCTCCTGCGCAGGCCATTCTCTCCAGAAAACACACACTGACGCAACCAGAGTTACCACGCACACAGACATCGCCACCCGCCTGCAGCATTTGGCCGCGCATGTTTGCAGAACTGACCAGCGCTACTGACCGCACTGACCGGGTGCTGCAAGCTTTCGGGCTTGGCTTCAGGCCGTGAAGAGCCTAGATCCCTTCCTGATGAAGATCACCCCAGTGCTGGCGGGGGGGGGTGGCGAAGGGAGGACTGGGAAAAATCGGTTTTTGAGGAATTCTTTCTGTGAGCTCCTTGGAGGGTAACATATTCATGGCCATGGCCCATATTGGTTTTGGGTTGATGACGTTTTTCTAGCTGGAGCCTTTGGGTCCCTCTTGGCTTCTTATCCACTGAATCAAGGGGACTCCAAGTCTTCCAAAGTCCTTTGTCAGACTCCACTATTGTTGGAAGGAGGTGGTTCGCCAGTTGAGCCACAATGAAACTCGGGTAGAGAAAGGGGAGCAGCCGCCTTTTTAATTTCCTACATGGTTTTGGGTAGGCCATTTCAATGCCGGTCGGTTTTGATCATGACTCAGTTGGGGTGAACGTCAGTCAGGGCCTCACTGAAATTGAAACCACCGTCCTCTGGTTGGAACAGGCCGAATGTCCGTGCTTGCGCCTGCAAAATGTTTTCAACGCAACCAGACCAAGTGGGGGCTGTTTAAACAACGGGGTGCGAAACATACTCATACAAGGGGGCTGCAAGGTGGGGCTGGGTACCACTCTGTTTAGTGGGAACCAGGCTTCTTGAGGAAACATCTGTTGCAAAGCAACATGAGTGCTGGTGCTTCCTTGGTCTGGCGGATGGTTGGAAGTCGCAAATCTGTCCTGAGACGAAGCTTCGACCTTGAGTTCGGGATGTCTTGACAGGTGGACCGTTGCTAGGCTCAGCATCGCCAATCTCCATTTCGCGCGTCTTTTCAACCAAGTTAGGACCCATGGTCCATCTTAGGGACAAGTGCAGGGTTCTGACCTCCTCGGGCAATGCCTTTCAGCCGTTCATCCCAGAAAGGCGGTTTTAATCAGGAGTCTAAGAATAAGAATCCCTTCTTAGAAGGCTCCAAGAACCTTTCCTAAGAGCAGGGGGCCTTTAGTTTTTGTGCCTATATTGAATGACAACCCTGTTTTGGTTCGACTATCCCCTTCTTTCCAAGGGTGCTGCATGTCAGAACATGGCAACAAGAATTTGAGTCCTCTCCCGCAAGGATGATGTGTGAAAACGGAAAGGTGGTCAACCTTTTGGGCAGAATCCTACACCCAACAAGGTCTCCGGAATGGTTGGTCAGCGTTTCCTCTTCTCCCTGTTGGGAATGCTCATACGTTTCCCGAAAGCCCGGTGAAGGGTTCTTCCGGTAAACTCGCCAGCCTTATCGCACAGCCAATTAGCACGACAGAACATTCACGAGAGCACATGCAGAGCAAGATACACGACAGGACATGCAGAGCAAGATGCGCAAGAGGTCAGGCAGAGCAAGTAGCAAGAGCAGCAAGTTGCACGAGCCAACTTGCACGAGAAAGCTCGCACGAGAAACGTGGACCCGAAGGTAAGATTAGTCTCTTAAGGCAGCACGGCGGGACAGAACCCACCACACGAACACGACACTCTCTGCGGGGATCGGCGTTGTCGATGTGCAAAAGATTGACGACTTGTTGGCGTGGTTAATCGCACAAAATGCTAGTCAAATGCTGCTTTTTCTAGTCGGAACGCGGGCTTGAAAGTTTGTCTCGTGGTTTGCGTGCTTGCTCTTGGAAGCGAGCAGCCCCGGGCTCGGTCTCCGCGGCTTCTGAGTTAGAAAGTCAGCAGCGCGAAAGTATCTCGCAAAGTGCACTTCTGCAGCTCCGGCTGGAAAATCGCGAGCGTAGCACGCGAATTACACTTTCGCAGCTTCCGCTGGAAAACCGCAACTTTCAAGTACGAAAGTAGTACGCGAAGTATGCTGTCAGAAAGCTCCGGCTGGAAGATCGCCACTTGTAAGTACCTACGTAGTACGCGAAGTACATTGTCAGAAGGCTCCGGCTGCAAGATCGCGACTTGAAAGTGCGAAAGTGCTGCGCGAAGTACACTTTCCCAGGTCCGGACCGACAATCGGACTCACGTCGAAAGGTTGCTGTGTTGTGGTCAGCGCTGTGCGCAGAGAACTTGGGAACTTGCTCGTAGAAACTTCTTGCGCAGCGTAACTTGCGCAGAGCACTTTTACACGCGCAGCAACCTGCGCAGAACACTTGGGCCGAGCGCTTGCGCAGAGCAACGCTTGCACAGAGACCGAAGCTTTTCAGTCGCAGAAGGATATGTGTAAACACGTGTGCGGCAAAGGTTTGGCATGAAAATGTATGGGGAGTCTGTGCAGAGATCTTTACCTCGGAGCCGCCGGGGGGGGGGGGGGGGCTACAGAAATCTGCAGCTGCCACTTGCCCATGAAAAGAGAAGCAAACACACATGCGTGAAACCGACGCTCGCTTTCCATTATGCTTGCGGGCCACCCGTGCTTCTAGTTTTCCTTTTGGACGGTCTGAAGGTAGCATGTAGACCCTGGCCAGGCCTCGATCCGTCAGATGTTCGAGGTCCTGGAGAGCCGCTTCCATCAGGCGAAGTCCTTGCGCCGGGGCTTGCCTTCAGTTTTACGCTCTCTCGTTTGGTCTCTCGAAACATCTCTCTTTGGAATCTTCTCAGTCCCTCTTATGATTTCTCGTCTTTTGTTCATCTTTCTCTTTCCTTCTCTTTCTCATTTGGGGGTGTCTTTATTCGGGATAATTACCCTATTGGGTGGTTCTGAAGGAAAGCCAAAAGGAAACACACACATTTTTTGGGGGTTCATTTTCCTTTTGGCAGACTGATTTCTCAAACGACGCTTATGGCCCGAGACCCTTCCGCGCTTGCCTCGCTTATGAAGCAGGTGCCGCGGGCTCTCATCAAGCGATGGCCCGGGCCCCGTGGCAGGGACTACATGGAAGTTGGGAACCACAGGTTTTGCATTTTGTCTTGTTGCTTGATGTCTTGGCTGAAAACCAGCACACGTGAGTGGGGAGTCCCATGTGTTGAGACAAATGAACTCCAATCGACGTGTGGCCGTGCGCTTTAGGTATGAGTGCATCCACGCGGTGCCAGACCTCCGGGACCGTGCGGAGAAGTGGCGCAACATCTTCCGCAAGGAACGGGGGAGCGGGATGCAGCAGGGTGTCAAGCCTAGGGCCTGGCTTGAAGGGCTTCAGTACATAATCAGATTGGTCGGTCCCTTTTTGGAACTTGACTCACAACTGGACAATGGTCAATCCAAAACTTTGTGAGCCGAGCCTGTGCCCAAGTGAATAGTGATGGTATTGCTGGTGGTGGTGGTGGTGGTGGTGATGGTGGTGGTGATGGTGGTGATGGTGGTGGTGGTGGTGGTGGTGGTGATGGTGGTGGTGGTGGTGGTGGAGGTGGTGGTTGTGGTGGTGGTGGTGGTGGTGGTGGTGGTGGTGGTGGTGACTATGAGATGGCGGTCGTTGCGGCGGTGGAACACACATCCTTATGCATGCTCAGTTTAAGGCGTGACAAGATCTCAAAGCAGAAAACATGCGGTCCATAGGTCTCAAGTGTCTCTCGCCTTTATCATCAGACAGGTCACTGATAATGCTATCGTTTGGGGAGGACACCCAAAGTCCACAGGGGGCCCATCCTGTTTACCCGTGTCCGTTTCGAGTTGTTTTGTCCGCTGCTCCGATACTCTCCCAGCAAACTGGCCCTCCAGATGTCACAGTGGAAAAGAATGTACTGCTCGAGTCGAGCTTACAGCTGACACCCGCGAACCATGTTATGCTGGAAAGGGCGAACTCTGAATGCCACACCTTGCTTCAGGACCTTCGGGGTAAGTTCAACATGAAGATCGCGGAAAAGGCCAAGGTCCTCTTGGCGGCAGCCCGAGCGATCCGATCTCCGGCTCCATCCAGTCGAGGCAATCATGAAAGTCCACTGGCATCATTGGTGGAAAGTGTGAAAGGCAAGCTTCTCGTTACCTATGATAGTGCTAACTATTTCCTTGGGATCTGATCTGTTCGATAAGCCAGCATCATCATGCGACCTCGATAATTGAAGGTTAGGCTTCATTCTCAAAAAACACTTATGCTTTGCTTTGGGCACGTATCATCGGGTGCAATCTCTGGCGGGCCTGAGGCACAAGTGGAAGAGTGCAGGCTGGTGTTGGAGGAGTACGCTTGCAAGGCTGGGAGAGTCTCCAACGGGCTCGCTCTCTGAGCGCCCAAGGCTTCCTTCCGTTTTTGTAGCCCGGGCTCTGTTGCCCCGGTTCCATGGGGATCAAAGCGAGGCCTTGGATCTCAGCACACGACCAGACTCGGAAAAGTCTCGTCAAGGGACGAGCCAAGGGGTGTGACTTGAGGTGTCGCTCAACAAGGCCGAGCCGGAGACTCGGGATCCGGTCCGTTGGGGGGTCGCTTGCCATTCAACGACCCGAAGGTTGTAGCAGGCAGCACATGTTTGGGCAACCCAAAAAGACCTTCTGTCACATACGCCGTGTTTGAGGCAACCCAAGCTTGGTGACAAAGGGGTCTCCACCCATGAAGGTCCCTACTGGGGGATTGCCGTTCCGTTCCGGTTTTTGAGCAGCGCACTTCGCCAAACACCAAGACTCGTCGTTTTTCTCTTAGGTTTTACTACAACAAGATGAACAAGTTGCAGGAGCGTGTCGCCAAAGTCCAGGAGCAGGCCATCTTTTGGGTCGTTCGGTTCGCAGTTTCCAGGGCCACCCACTAGAATAGAAACCATTTCTGGGTGGGGGTTCCTTTGTGCAGCCTTAGGCAGGGTTACTACCCGGTCTGTTTGCCTGCTATTGTGGATGGGATCCACTGAGATAGCTTTTCTCTTTCTGGGGTCGGTTGTCCCTCCCTTATGCAACGCTTCGTACTCGTCGATGGCTTTTGCAGGTGGAGAAGCAGCACGTGCACGAGGAGATGATGGAGCGAGTCCGGCGTGGTTTGGACTGTGATTCTTCGAGTCGAACGGCCCTGGGCAAGCAAGAGAACATGGGGTTTGGGGGGGGGAAAGGAAGGTGCAGTCGAAGGATGTGTTTTGAAGTTTCGGGCGGCGCGGATCTTTTTTGCGAGTCGCGCCAGGATGCCTCTGTCGGAGTTTCCAGGCCTGGCGGCCACGGTGAGGTCCTTGGCCGTTTTCCAGGGGTCCAACTCTCGTCGGCGGCCTGTTTGTGCTGGGAAAGGCCGGTGCTGCTCAGATGTCCATTGTTGGTGCGATGTCTTTTCGGGACATAAGCCTTGCCTGGATTTTGTTGGAAGGTCAGCCCGAAATTGGGTCCCGAACGCCCAGGCCGAGCAGATTGCGCCGTTGCTGGAGCTTTGGTACCTCGCCCATGCAGCCTGGCTTCAGCTGCTTTGCCAATCCGTGGTCAAGGGGCTTGGGGCTCAACCTGCAAAACCCATTCCCTTCCTCCCACTGACATGGAAGCTGACGGGGGAGGTTGCCTCCAGGAAATTGATCTTCTAGGCACCTCCCAGGTGTTTGCGGGAGGGTACCCTGATAGTATTTTGCCCCGTTCCTTTGAATCCAAGACATAAGCTTCAAGCTCTCTCCCGTCGAGGAGTGGATCCAGTGGAAGGATGAGATCCTTTTCGGCGAGTTCGCCTGGGCTGCCAGCTCGCTGCTTCGCCTTTTTGCTGTTTGGAATCGACTTGCATGCGCCGCAGCTTTTATGCCCGGAAGTTGAGTTGAGACCGACCTAAAGTGCCGACGGGGAGGCCCGTGAAGATGCAACCCACAGCCAAGGCAGCCCATGACTTGCACACACCCCGGCTATCCCGCCCTGGCTTCCCAAGCCACCTACGAATCACCATGAACGGCATGGGCTTCGGGGAGCAGGGGCAGCAGTCCTCTCAGGCGCGGCATGGGAGTCCATGGGAGTCCTTAGTCTTTGATGAACGGATGGCACTGGTCGAAAGCTCGGTTTCATTTCATCTAGGGCCATCTATTTTACCAAAAGGACACCTATGACATTATGACCGGGAGGCTTCCCGGCGCGATTTCTTTTTCTTTCTTTCTTCTGCTTTAGGACTGCTCCATCCACATCTGCACCATTTGCCGAGCTCCGATTCGGATCTCCTACTTTGTGCTGACCTCGGGTGGAACAGTGGAGCATTCGGTCTCAAGCGAATTTGAATTGTGTTGCAGCCAAGCGCCACATGGCCAACCAAATATCCAGGTATTATCCCTAATTCGCAGCGCAGATAGACACATCCTGCAGGGACGAGATTCCAACTCAGGTTGGCATCTTCTTTGTGTCCATGTCTTAGTGATTCGGTGCCTGGCCAATGTGCTTGCTTTTCAGGCCAGAACCTCTGAGGTATGAGCTGGTGAACATCGGTAAGCAGGGTGGTAGCAACGATGACATCCTCTGGCAGGTGCGCCAACACGGCGGTTTGTTCCCAGTCTTTGCGCGATTTTTGTCGGGGAGATGGATGCTCTGGAGGGCACGCATCTGCAGAACAGGGTCTGAGGTGTTTTTGAAAGGGACACCCAAAGGAAAACAACCATTTTGGGGGGTCCCCCCAAAAAGACACACCCCCCGATCGCCACATGGCCTCGAATGATAACTTGCGTTGTGATGTTTGTAGGTCGGAACCCTGTCAGGTGCCGCAATGGATCAAACAATCGGAGTCGATTCTATTGGAATGGCAACCCACTTGTCCGTTGAAGCAAAAGGTTTGTATTAACCCCAACCCATTTCCTGCTTGGGGGGCTGTCAGGTGCTGCGGGCCTGCTGCAACGAGGCGGTCTTGCTCCTGACAATCCTCTGCCTGGCATCCCAAAATCCAGCCTGCCTGCCCCCTCGGAGGTTCAAGGGGAATGGAAATGCATCGGTTCCCCGATCTGCCCCAAAAGCAGGGTACGTGCCCGCATTGGGATGCCGGTAAGACTTGTGATTGGTCTCAGGGGCGAGCGGTGCGCAAGTTGGTGCCCTCGTAACGTCCCGTGGCAAGCAGCTTGACAAGATTGGAACCACTGGGCTTGCCATCTCGAGCTGAGGTCACGAGTTTGGCCACGGCAACATGGCCAGGTATCTGGGCGGCGAGATTAGTGCCTTGGAAGAATAGAAAGGCGGATTTGGTTGAATGGGAAGCGGGGAAGTGGGCAGATTTTTTGTGCTTGCCGTCAAAAGTGCTAGTGTGGTGCTCCACATTTGACGCCACAGTCTCTTTATGTCTGCGGAGGCGTCTTGGCAGATCCGCCGATGTGAAACAAACCGCCGCAGTCGACCAGTGCTGCAAACTGCGTGGCTCTTTTGGGCTGGATCTTGGGCATTGTGACATCGCTTTTGGTGGGCCCTTGTGCGACTTAGGCCATATTCTGCTTTGGGTCTTTGGAGGCATCTGCTTCTCCACACGCCCCAGCTGCTTGGCGGCAATTCCAAGAATTCTGGAAGGATTTGAGGTGGCCCTACCCAGCATATTTTTGTCCGTGCCCTGTCCTAACAAGGGTCTGCGTATATTATGTACAAATATATATATATATATATACACACATACATATGTATACATATGTATACATATTTTTCTGCAATCGCTTCCATGCCTCGATTGCGACACTGTCAGCTAATAGTCATTTCTGCAGCAATCAACTTCCGGCAGATCTGGGTTTCCGGCCTCATGTCTGTGCGACTTACAAAAAGAGGCCCTTTGCTTTTCCCTTAAAAACAACCCAAAATGATCGCCTCCAAGAACGACACCCCCCATGCAAATCGCCAGGGAATGACTCGGCGGACAACACCAAGCTGCTGCGCAACGACCTGCTGATCGTGGCAGCAGGACCCCCAAGCAAGTACTGGACCCCTCGAAGTGCAAGCGGTTGGCAATTCACTCACATTAGTGTCCTTGAAACAACAACTGCCCTGGACGTGGCGCGGCGCTGTTTAGTAGCGCAACTGCATGTGTTTGTCCAAGCCCTACATGGAGGCGCCTTCTACTCTGCCCAAGTTGGTGTCCAATGGATTGAACATTTTGGCGTTTGAACAGTCAAGTACTCTGAGCTCAAGCCCAATTCACACCTTCAACGGCTCTTTCTTTGACAAGTTAAGCAGGGTTGGTCCCTGAACAGATTCTACCAACTGGTTTTTCTTTAGGGGCCACCATGTTCTTCCTTCGTGCCGGATTTAGTTAGCACTCCAAAGCCACCCCTCGGTGAGGACCCTCCACGCACTTTGTGCAGGCGCCTGCTTGGGCACTGAGCCTTGGCATCCGATTTGAGATCCGTTGGCTCTCTGTTTTTAGATTTGTTTGTCTGTTTTTGTCTGTTTTTGTCTTCTCATGAATGGTTGGTTGTCGCCGCACCAAATGGCTGGCGTTCCTTCCGGTGTCCCTTTAAACCCAGACTTGGGAGCTCACCGCATATTTCCATGGGACAAAGGGTCTGGCTCGGAAGGCCTGGCTTGCTTCCGATCCCGGCGGCGAGCTCTGTCAGGATCCTATGGCTCCTCTTCTTCATCATCACTTCTAAGGTGCTCCGCAGCCTGGGGCGCCTCTCGCGGTGTGCCACGTCAAGACCCTCATTTTCTTGAGAGGTTGTGGTTGTGGGGTCGGGCTACATTAAACGTCATGATTGTAGGAGCAACGTGCTAGAAATTATTAGCCACTTATGTGATATAGTATATATACATATATATATATATATATATTTATCCACATGTATATGAGGGTGAGGGACAGTTGATTTATCTTGAAAGGACCGCGTGCCAGGCTTTTCACCTGTCCTGTTTTTGGGGTTTTCAAGTGACATTGGACGTGTCCGCCGTTGCGAGACAACCTCAAGGCGACGTTTGGTTGTATTTTTGGCGACCTATCGCGATAGTCTTTGTGGCGGAGAACGCGTTCAACATATTCACCCTCAGTTCGCCCGATATTCCGATATCCCGATATCCCCACTTCCGAAAGGGAAAGAGAGCGGGGATTTGGATTGTGCAAGTATACGCAGGGGTCGGACATATTATGAGGCTGTACTTCCGGTTGGTCGCAGAGCTGAATCGGTTTTCTCCGCTGTGAAGCCCATCTAAATGCTGGAGGGCTCAAATGCGCCCTTTGGCCAAGCGGTCAGGGCGGCGACACGGGCTACGACTCCCCTTGGGAGGCAGTGCAGGCTGCCATCAATCCCCTGGGAGGCGCGGAGCGATTTTTTTTTGATCCGAAGCCTGAAGCCCCAGCTCTTCACTTCGACCGAGTTTTGTTGTGTTCGGGTTTCCGGGGGAGATTTTCAGGGAACTCTCCGGCCAAAAACGGAGGCAAGGCGGAACATGGCAAAGCGGTGGCTCCTCGATGGGGACCTGGCCTGGCTCGCGGCCTTTTTCCACCTTTGCCCTCAAAATCAGATGAACCCCTCTGGAGGTCTGGGTCAGGGCTTCCGTTGCTCGTCATGAGGTGTGGCTGTGAATCCTTCACAACAAGTAGCATTGCCAACGTATCAGAAACATGGTTTGGCGAATCTCATGATGATTGGCTCTTTCTACAAATACGGGACCCTCCCCCACAACCACTGGCCCGCACATGCCTGGTCAAAAGACTTTGTGTTTTGCTTGGGGGCATCCCAGAAGGAATTTAGACAACCATCATAAGTCGCCAGGTGTTTCCACAAAAGGAGCCAACGACGTCATGATCCAATTGTGAGGTTTGACCAGAGTTTGCCTGTCTCATTTGTCAGATTGAAGGCGCCAGGCTGGAGGTTTTTCTATTTACCCAAAGGGGACTCCATCTCCATGTCGCCCTGTGAGGCTATTACAACCCGTGGAGGTCCACCATGGGCGAATGGACACTGCTTGCTTGGAGCGTGGTCCAGAGCGCCATCCAGCTTAACGTGGCGCCTCGGCAAGGTGAGACTGGAGCGGTGGTCATCCCGACGCTTGGGGAGAGATGACATGGTTTGGGTTGGTCTGAAAACAGAAGAGTCCTAAAAGGGGTGGGCCTCTCCTTGGTTTTTTCCTTGCAATCCGAAGGGAAAGCAAGACGCGCCCATTTACAAGCAACGGTTGAGTTGAAACATCCAACGAGTCGCCTGCTACAGTGGGACCTGGGAGTCTGGGCTGGCAAGCCCCAAGGAAAATGCCGTTCAGAAGTCACTGATCCCCCGGAAGTGGACGGCATCGAATCTTTCGCCGGGCGAGGAGTAGACTCCTATGCTGTGGACCGATCCATGCAGCGGATCTTGTCCAATACAATCCTTGAGCTGTGACTCTCCAGCTGGGCCCTTTAGGAGAGATTTGTGCCACTCTCCATCCGCTTCTTTGCGGGGTTGACTTGTCCCTCAGCGCCAAGTTTGCGGAATGCGTCTAAAATGCAACCCTTGAAGTGGCATGTGTCTGTTTTTCTTGGCTTGCCTTTCAGCACCAACCCATGAACAAGAAAACACACCCCATTATTGGCTCTTTCTCAAAGTCATCCCCCCCAAGCGGTAGGCTTAACACTATCACCTTTTGGTTGCCAATATCAAGTGAGTTTCCTTGGTGCGAGGTTCAAAGAAGAAGCATCATCCGCCCGACGAATTTGGGGGGCCCGGCTTTTTGTTTGATCGTTTTGAGGCCCTCTTCATCTTCAACGTCTTCTTCCCCATGTACCCAGCTGATGGCGCCAAGCTGATGGCCTGGGGGACCCAGATTCTCAGAATGGGCCCTGGAAGTCAGAGCCACGGATTTTTCAGGGTCCAACCCTGATTCACAGTTGTTCCTGTGTGGCACAAGCCTGAGGTCAGCGTTAAAAGGGATGTGACATCAGTGCTTATTCTTAACCTACATTGGAGCTTGTGCATTTGTGATTTTGGTGGCTCCTGGTCTACGTAGTGGGCCCAATACATTCCAGGCCCCCATGATGCGCAGCGATGTCCTCGGCCAAGGGGGGCCTTTCGATGCAGAGAAGGCACAGCGCCTCGTGCTCTACATCAGTGTCGTGACCATCTTTGCATTTGCCGCACGAAACCTACCTGGCCCCTTTCTGCCGATCGTGATGCTCGAGCAGTTCAAGCAGCGAGAGAGCATGGTTGGAGTTGTAACTGCCGCCTACCCCGTGGCAGCCTTAGTTGCAACACCTTTTGCCACCAGCTGCCTCATGAAAACAACACGGATTATCCGTGCCCACTGCTTGGGCCTCATGCTCATGGCAGGCAGCAATGCCATCATGGCAAGTGCAACGCACTTGCTGGGCATAGTTGGTCCGTGCAGTGCCACCTTGGCGATCGTGATCTTCCGGATGCTGCAAGGCGTAGCATTTGCCTACTACATGGGCGCCAATACCACGCTTATCACTCGCATTTTCCCCAAAGACGTGTCCTACATCGTGGCCCTTGTGGAAGTCTTTGTGGGAGTTGGTGCGCAGCTGGGCCGCTTGTTTGGTGGAGTGATCTATGACACCGCGGGGTTCGCGGCTCCATTCTTGCTGGTTGCCGGCCTGCAGGCTGCGACGGCGTCTTTCGGCTTCGTTTGCTTCGGCGTGAACGAAGGCGCCGAGGAGTCGGACGAGCCTCGCGGAACCGCCGCGCCGGCGGTGACTGCAGCTCCAGTGCGGTGGCGCGCGCTGCTGGTTCCACGGGTATTCCTGGGCATGTTCGCAGTCTTCCTGAACTTCTTCCAACTTGGCTTCTATGATACTACGCTGTCTCCGTTTCTGAAAGATCATCTTCAATTGGACGGCACTACTAGCATCAGTGTCCTCTTTGCACTGCGAAGCCTCAGCTACCTCACCTTCTCGTACCTTTGCGGACAGTTGATGAGACGCCGGGCAGTCAGCTTTGAGGTGCTCATTCTTCTTGGCGCAACATGCTGCACAACAGCCTGCATTCTTATCCCGCTGAATCCCGGCGACTTCGTGACTTGGGGACGTTCCCATGTGGGTATTTTGTTATTTGAAACCATGTCATTGATGGCAGGTTCTGCCGGGTGTGCGTTACTTTTCATTCCCTCGCTGCCCATCATGCAGCATGGAGTGCGACATCTGGGCACAACGGCCATCGAGCAGACCACGCCGCTCTTCATGGCGATGATGTCGATCGGCGAGGCCATCGGCCCGATCTTGGGTGGTTGGTTGGTCCAAAGCTTGGGCTTCCAAGTTTCTTCGGCCATCGTTCTGGTGCCATTCGCCATGCAGATCCTGTGCTCCTTTTCGGTTTGGCTGGCTCTAGGAGGTGCAGTGGATGAGGACACACATGCGAAGGCTGTGCAGCTCACGGACCTGAAAGACACTCGGGCGTATCACCCTCTAGTGGACGACAAGAATTCGGGATTTGAAACCGTGGCAAATGCCACGGACTCTCCCAGTCATGTTTGATGGGCACCCTGCTGCTCTATCCCAATACCCTTTGAATTTGCTGTCCGAAAATGCAGATGGCTTTGAACAAAGATTAGCCAGCTTGCTAGTGGGCCAAAGTTTGAGGCACAATTTTGGCAAGCTCGGAGTCAAGCCATCTACACTGTGGAAGTGCACGAGAACAAATGTTCACTGGAGCCTTTGCGCTGGCAAGAAGAAAACAAAGTGTAGATTGTGAGCACTTATTGTTAAGTGTTCTTTAAAGGCCAGCTTGAGAGAGACTCTGACCGGTGCACCGCTTTGACTGAGGTTACCAGCCTGATGTTCTTCTGCGGCGTCACCCCCAGGAAGGCAGAAGGGTTAGACCCGTCCGCCCGGGTCTCTTTGATTTTGGTGACCCAGACAGGGCTTGCAAGGAGTACGGAGTGCAGATGCTTGGGGCTATTCGGAACCTCTTTTCAGGACGCGAGACAGGTCAAGTTGTTGCAACCTTCATTGATTAACCCCTTTCAAGGCCTTAGCAGGGGCTTATCCTTGGCGTATCCATGGATAGTCCCCCCCCCCGTAGGCCGTCCATTAAATTGCTTCGAGGAGTCTTCTTTTGGGACTCTTTTTTTGGCACATCGAGAGCCATGTGGACTAAAATTCAAGCACCCCGAGCCTCCGCTTGGCTCAGCTTTTCGGAACTGGGCTTCAGGGGGGTGACCGTGGTACTGGACATTCCGTCGACTTTTTGCCACAGGCGTCAATGGTGCTCATTTGCACCTCCGTCCCCTGCGGCCTGCTGATGATCGACACCTGGCTGGGGGGGTTCGGGTGGGGCTTAGGGTTTGGGCGAAGGGCCATCTGATAAGTGGGTAACCCCGAAATGGCGTTTCCAACAGCTCAAAAAGACAGACTCAAGTGCGACGTTGTTGGGACATCTTTTCGGTTGAAGGGAAAAACAGTGGAGAGGGTTGCAGCAGAGTCATTTTGCACGACCTCGTCAAAGCATCCGCGCCTAAAGCTCTTTTGGTGAGGGCCATATGAACCTTCCATCATATTGGCACATTTTGAGCACTCACTCGATCTTTTCAAGCGCAGTTGCCAACTTCAAACTTTTCCTTTTAGTACACAACTTTTTTTTTTTTTTGGGGGGGGGTTCGGGATTCCTTCGGTTTCAGCCGGATTTTTTGGTGCCGAGGCGTGGGCGGTGTGGGGCCTGATCAAAGCGGGGCCCAGCGGCATCCTGGGGAGCCTCATGGGCTGGATGGGGGTCATGAGCCTCATGGAGGCAGGGGGGGGGGGGGCTCCATGGCTCCATGGTCGTTCCACGAGAAATCCGGAGGGATCCATTGAAGGGATGGACCAGGTAGGTAGGGTGTGAGAAATTCAGAGGGAGGGTGTTTCTTTCTTGGGATGTACTTTTCAGGTCGATAAAAGTTGCCACAGTCGCCATTGATGAACATCTCATTCAGATGGGGTTTTTGATTAATTTTGCTATGTGTAGGGTCGCGAGTATGGCTAGAGTGTATGTTATTTTAAGTGACATATCAAAAACATAGCAATCTTGTCTGGTTTAGTGCCTCATCATTTTGAGGGCCTGAACACGAGCCGCATTGGCCTGGTATAAAGCGACACCAGCCGTGAGGGATTGGTTGACGGGGGATTTGGCCCAGGGCACTGGTAGTTTGTACAGCTTGGGTGAAAGTAGACGGCACAACCTCCCCATGTAGGTTTTAGCATCCTCCCCAATTGCAGACAGGAATAGGCACCCTGGTGTAGTTGGGAACCCCTCTCAACACCCATCCCTAGGATGGGCATGTGTCCCCTTGCTCGACCATTTCTCACAGCCGGAGACGAGTGAATCTGAAGGCATGGGGCACACGTCCGTCTCCAGGCTTGGCGCATTTGGAAGCTGCGCAAGGCGCGACCCGGGGTTTGGCAGACAAGATGATCGAAGATGCACCATGTTCATTTCTTCTTTTCTTTTTTTTTGGGGGGGGTTGAACAACTCTTGATGTGCTGGTTGGATGCAGCTGCTTGGCAAGCAGGTTGTAACCGTGCTTACAGGTCAACCAACCCCTCTTGTCACGCTTTTCAACCTGATTATAGCCTACTCGCCAAGTAGGTTGGATCTACATCCCACTCGGGGCTTCGGATTTGCCTTGCGCCGAGGCGAGGCAGCTGAACACGCATCCACTCTTCGAGGCACGGATGGAACTGGACCCCACAGGAAAGGGCTGGTTCCTTACAACTGCAGACCTTTTCGACCAGAACGAGGGTCCAAGGGATATGACAAGATTCAACACCACCATCATCGTCTTGTTTCATTCTAGGACACCATTCATACCTTTGGGCCTGCGGCCTCTAGCCGGCTACGCCTTTCTGAAGGCACAGCGATCTGCGATGCAAAATTCGCCCTTAACATGGCATGTGACTTTATTGCGTGAAATTATACCAAGTCAAGTCATTTTATTGTGTGTGAACCGTATCCTATGTCATGATATGTCTGGTTAGATTATGCATTTTGCCCACTCCAGCCATCAACATATCCAGATGATGCTGGGATGCCAGCTTTCTGAGCCCCAGTATGGCCCCAACCGAGTCAAATCACATGCAGTCGCGCGCGCGCGCGCCAAAGGCCCCAGAACGACCAGCCGAAAAAGAACAGCTCACAAGCCAGCCCGGAAACGCAAACGCAACAAAACACTGTAATTAGCAGCGTTTTGTGGCCGGGCGTGCGCGCGCGCACGCCACAAGGCCCAAACCCCAAGTGGGAAAAAAACAAGGACCGCGCAGCACACGAGCCAGCCACAGCAGAAGCAAAACAATCAGAGCGTCAGCCCAGCGCTCAGCATAGCAGTTTTTGACGGGATTTACGGCGTTTTGTAGAGCAAGGGCCCAGCATCGCCGGCATGCCCGGCAGCGCTTGGCACCAACATGCGCGAAAATGAGCCTTGCTTATATCCCTGCGGCACCTTCTAAAAACAGTGCTGCATGGGTTGAGAGGCCTTTTCGAAGGAAGTCTCGGTGATGCAGACCAAGCCCCGCTGAAGCATCACCCAGGCCCAACCCCAGACGCTCATGATGTCAGCCACACGGCCTCAACCCTGCACACACGCCATGTTTTGCGAGCGCTTCCCCCAGGCAAGCAAAACCGCAAGCCTGAGCTGGTGATGCCGGCTCAGCCACAGCGTGCCTGAAACACACAAACCCAAGCCAGGGCCCAGGCGGGGGGCCAAAGCGTGCAAGGAGCATAGCAAGCGCACGGCCTCAGAACGAGCGGAGTTCAGCGGCCCAACTAGTTGGGAAGGGTGCCAAACGGCAAGCGCTAGGCAGGGCCCAGCAAAACTCGCCAACAGCTAGCCGCAGCTCGCAAAAGACATCGGCAGCGGTAGGGAGAGCAAACCGCCGTAGGCCCAAAGCCTGTTGGTCTCTCATGGGAAATCGCAGGTCTCAGAAAGAACCAAGCAAGCGTTGTAACGCCCCCAATTTGCGCTCAATGTCCATGGAACATATGGTGTCCTGGATTTTACGATCCTGATTGGATTGCTTTTAGAAATCAGAATGAAGAGTTTCCTATACTTTGTTGTCGATAGTTTTTAACATCACCTTTTGGTCCAACTCAAGCGAGTCCCTTTGAAGAAGTGCGTTTTTTGGGAGGGAGGTGCGTGCCAAGACAATTGACATAAGGACCCCTTTACCTCCGGTGGGCAGGGATGGTCAGCAACCTCTCAAAGAATTTAGCCGACGATTCCAAGTAAGGGGCCGGGCCCTCTTAAGGGGACCATGGCCAGCAGCTTCAATCGTGACGCATTAAACTCCGCACATTTTTGCAGGTCGCCAAGTCCTGGCGGCGTACCGAGCGAGACAGATTTGGCGTGGTGCATCGCATCAACCAGTCGGCGCTTGGCCCAGATTGCACAGTTGCAACCTTTGGAGCATGAGTTTGATTGAAGACCCTTTGGTGGACATCGCTTAGGTGATTCATGCCCCAACCACTGTTGAGGTGGTTCCCGATTAAAGTTCATAGCCTTTTGAGACAAAATCTTTTTCGCCTTAGGGGCGCCACCTCCCTTGGGGGGCGAAAAAAGTCCTCAGGACTTCGACGACGACGAGCCGCTGACGCGGGGCGGCTGCTGGCGCAACCTCTGCGCTGTGTTTAGAGGCGGCGACAGCGACGAGTCGCCGCGGGGCGCCTGTTGCGGCTCGGAAAGCAGGAAGGCACATCCCAATTCGCAACCAAACCCAGAGGGCACATGGTTGGCAATCATATAGGTGCCATATCACCATCCTAAGGGTTGTACTCATGTAACTGGTTTGTGGGGTACTGTAGGGGTTAGACAGGGGGTCCAAGTACCGAGTTTGGATATACAGGGTCCCGCCCTTGGGATCCTGTCGGCAGACGCGGTTGTCCACAGCGAATAGACGTTTCAACCTTTGGGTTTCCATTGATGTGTTTTGAGGGTCAAAGCAGCCAACATGCTTGCCATGGTTGGTTTGGAGAGACTCCTATAAAAGGCTCAGGACTCGGCTCGATGCGAATTGACCGTTTGACTCTCAGCTTATCAGTCGGTGTTGAGGATTCCAAAAGATGAATCTCGAATTTGCAGGTCCTTGTTGGAGTGAGCAGAGGGAAAGGGCTCAGACATGGGAGGAGACGTGCGGGGCAAGTGATTTCATGGGCCCTTTGGTGCATGCCATTCTGTGGCACAGAAGTGCACCGGGTCGTTTTTCCAACAGGAGACTAGTCTCGGCTTTGTTGGTGGGAGGGGATCGCTTGACAGGCCTCTGCAAAAGACCACCCCCTTCACAAGGGACCCTCAGACCCTCAGTTCAGTGACATCGCCATGGGTCAAAACCCCGTATATACCCCCAGTGAACATCCCAATCCCCACCAAAATAGACTAAAAATCAGTGGTGCACCTATCCCAAAATGGGATCCCATTGGTTTTGACCACCACGGCCACGTTGCCCGGAGAGACGTCTTTGGAGGATCTCGGGTTTCATTGATCTCAGGCTGCTGCTGCAACTTCGGCCGCCGAGGGCCGGAAGAGGTGGAGGTGAGCGAAACATGAGAGTGAACAAACCACAAAAGCTATTCAAATTGTCAAACCACGGGATGTTGGAACCAACACATATGCACTTGTGTTCTTCTTTTTTTAACCGCCCTCCAAAAGAAAACAAAGTAGCTGAAGGAGGGCCTCACCTCTATGTCTCCTGTTGGGAGTTAAACGTCACGTTAAAAAGGAAGAACACCCTTTGATTTGGCAAGTTTCCGTTGGGTTGGTTTCAACATCTGTTTGTTCTCAATTTTGACCGACCATGTTTGCCGGCTTTGGCCTTTTGCCATTCGCCCAAGTTGATGTGAGAAGCTCTGAGTTCCCTGCAGGTGGTACCTTCGGCTAGCCCGGAGCACCAGGCAGCGCTGCGGTCCCAGCGAGACCAATTTGTACAGAGGACCGGGGCAGAGGTGGCTTAAGTTCATGGCGTTTGGGGTTTGGGAATTGTGGTTGTTGTAAACGAAAACCAACGGAACACCGCCTGAGTGCCGCATTGGTGATGCCAACTCGTCAAGCATTGTTCGCTCCAAGTTGCTGAGTGCTCTACAAGATACTCTTTGAGTAACTTTGTGCACTTTGAACCTTCTGGAAAATTGATGCCCAACTCACCACGCGGCACCCTCCAACGACTGCTTTTTGGGGCTTGAACATGGGGAGGCGGTCGTTGGGGGTGCGCTGGGCTAAACAAGATCAAAGCGTGACCAAGCCAACATCAGCATCGTCAGGATGGAGCAGCAGCGCATCGACCAGTCCCGCGGCGTCGCTTAAAGGAAAAAAGGTGCGGCTTCGGTCAAAAGCCAAGTCTAGGGGGTCCAAGTAAGGTCTTCAAGCCCTTTCGCCCCGCAAAACTTAGGGTAGGAAGGATCTGATCGGCAAGTCGCCACCCGAAGCCGGAGATCTGAGCCAACAGACGGGCGGTGCTCCGAGTCCAAAATCGACCCCAACACCGTGAAGCAGAAGCTTCAGACCTGCACCGAGACGATGCGCCGCCTCGAGGAGGTGCCTTTCGTTGTCATCGGTCTGCAGAGCTCATGTGGGGCTGCTTGCCATTGGTTTGCAAAGGGAAGCCAAAAGAAACAAGCCACAGCTGGAATGGCGTCCTTTGCCTTCAATTTGTTGAGATGATGACGACTGTTGCAAGCTGCAAAGTGTCTTTAGCGTACAACTGTACACAAGTTTCCCGGACCTTCCCTGCTGCCCTATGTGTTTTTTGGGTTGGGATATGTTGGGATCAAGTCAAGTCCTGCATGCAACTTGGTCAGGTGTTTGCAACGCAACCGCGGCCGCGACAGGCGCTGAGCTAGGTTCGGGCCGGGTGTTTTTATGCTTCCCCTTGGGTGGGGTGAACGTCACCAGCTTGGATGGGGGTTTCTGTTGGAAGGGCGATGTTGGAAGGCGGCATTGAAGGAACGCTGTCCGACTCGTTTCGTCTTAGCCGATTTTTGTGCAACAGGCAGGGCTTCGTAGCCTCTACAATGTCTGAGCGCCCTCCTCTTCCCGCTTGTAAAGGTTGTCAGGTGTTCTTCTGTTGCATAGTTCTCCTTGGATCATCACGAATGAAATAAGAAGCATAGCCATCTTAAAAGGTTCTCTCGCCAGAGAAGACAGATGTCGGTCAAAATGCGGGTAGATTTGGCGGAGAGTTGGTGTGGTTTGGGGGCTCAGGTATAGCTGCACGTCAAATTAGGCCATCCCAGAGGTGCTTGCACGCACCTTTCATATAGAAACGCCTTTTATTTTTCATACCCCTCTACCCAAAACTGCCTTGGCAAGAAGAGTCTGTCGATGGCCTTCTTTTCTATTGTGCAGAAGCGTGACATCTTGACTTGCAATTTTTCATATCACCATTTGGATGGAGCTTGTTTCGTAGAATCAATCACGCAGTCCCCCCCCCCCAAATGTGCCTGACACAGAACCAGGCCCAGCAGGGTACTTACAGGGGTACGTCCAGCTCTGTTCCCTACTTGGGTGGCATTTTGGGAAACAATTCTGCGAAAATTGGAGCCCGGTTTGCGAAGGAACCAACGGTCCCCCCAAAGAGGTGCTCCACTCCCTGTCGCTGGAGCTCACAGAGCTGCGAGTGCTGCTGCCGGCCGCGAGCCTGGCCGTCTCTGAATCGGAGGGCGGAGGGGGACGTAATGAAGACCCGAGATGAATCGACCTTTGTTTGTTAGTGTGGGTGGGTGGGTGGGGGGGATAGGCATCAACAAAAAACTTCCAGATGGGATCAAACAACAACTAAACAACTTCTTCTCATTCCTATGGGGGGAAGGAAGGAAGGAAGGAAGGAAGGAAGGAAGGAAGGAAGGAAGGAAGGAAGGAAGGAAGGAAGGAAGGAAGGAAGGAAGGAAGGAAGGAAGGAAGGAAGGAAGGAAGGAAGGAAGGAAGCCTCACCCCCTTCAACCACACCCGCTGATTTGTAGAATGTTTACAGTGATTAACGCACCCTTTGCTGAATCATCACTTCTTCAAATTATCATCACCCTTTGTTGAATCATCACTTCTTCGAACATTTTTTGGGGGGGGGGCCTGCCCCCGCAACCCCGCTGCTGATTTGTAGAACGCTTACAGAGCTCAACGCACCCTTTGTTGAATCATCACTTCTTCGAACATCATGGGGGGGGCTGCTACCCCCCCCCCAACCCCCCCGCTGATTTTCAGAATGTTTACAGAGCTTAATGCGCCCTTTGTTGAATCATCACTTCTTCGATAATCATCCCCTTTGTTGAAACATCACTTCTTCGAACATTCTTCGATCATCATCACCCTTTGTTGAAGCATCACTTCTTCGAACAACATGGGGGGGCTGCCCCCCCCCCCCCAACTGCTGGTTTGTAGAATGTTGACAGAGATTCACCCCTTGCTGAATCATCACATCTTGGAGCATCATGAGGGGGGGCGTCCCCCCTAACCCCTCTGCGAAAGTGCTGCGCCTGCTGCGAAAGTGCTGCACCTACCACGAACTTTGTACCTGACCTTGGGAAAGTATTTCGCCTGCCATGAAATCCGTACCTGACCTTGCGAAAGTGCTGCGCCTGCCGCGAAATCTGTACAGTACCGTGCTGCGCCTGCCGCACAAATGTGCACCTGACCTTGCGAAAGTACTGTGCCTGCCACGAAGTCTGTACCTCACCTTGCGAAAGTGCTGCGCCTGCCGCGAAATCTATATCGTACCCTGCGCTAGTCGCGAAATCTGTACCTGACCTTGCGGAAATGCGGCGCCTGCCACGAAATCTGTACCTGACCTTGCGAAAGTGCTGCGCATGCCACCGAAATGAAGAAGTTTTTTTTGATGCCTATCATCACCCTTTGTTGAATCATCACTTCTTCGAACATCATGGGGGTGACCTTGCGAAAGTACTGTGCCTGCCACAAAGTCTGTACCTCAGCTTGCGAAAGTGCTGCGCCTGCCGCGAAATCTATACCGTACCTTGCGAAAGTGCTGAGCTAGCCGCGAAATCTGTACCTGACCTTGCGGAAATGCTGCGCATGCCACGAAATCTGTATCTGACCTTGCGAAAGTGCTGCGCATGCCACGAAATGAAGAAGTTTTTCTTGATGCCTAACATTTTTTCCCCTCTGAGTTTTCATTTTAATGGGACATCTAAGAGAATAAGTTTTTTTTTGGACCCCCTAATAAGTTTATTTGATCTTCAGGAATAAGTTCTTTTTGATGCCTAAAAAGTTTGTTTTTTTGATCCCTCACCCGTGGGTGGGTGGGTGGGTGGGTGGGTGGGTGGGTGGGTGGGTGGGTGGGTGGGTGGGTGTCTGTGGGTTTGGACGGTTTAGTGGGGATTCAGACCACTGTTGGAGGGGAACACCCCCCTCATGCCCCCTTGATGTTTTATCGCTTGTCACTGGCATTCAGTTTTGATTTGCTGAAATTAAGTCAACCTCGGACTAAGCGGGCTAAGCATTTGCAACTTGGGGAAATGATCAATTTCAAGCGGATGCCCGACATTTGACTGCAGTCTGGACAGTGCACACAGGTCATCGTGTCCCTGCGGAACCCGGGTCTGCGAGAGCGGCATTGGCCTTGCCCCCGGCTGCAAAAAATCATCTCTGCGTTTGTTCCTGGCGAGTTTTGTTCTCTTCTCCAAACCAGCCACTTAGGACCCTCATCGGCGAGGCCATTGATCAAAACATTCAGGCGAATCAGATGAAGGCTCGGACGTCGTTCGCGAATGTTTGGGGTAACCCATGGTGAATCCGTGCGCCGACAAAAAAGGAAAGGCTGCTTTGACGAAATACGGACTCTCATGCCTGTGACCTAGTTTAAACAGGGTCCATTGTTTTGCCTACGGCAAGGCCAGGGGCAGTTCGCCGGGAAACGAAGCCGGGAAACCGGTGTGGCGCAGTACATGAGTGACGTCTTGTCTTTCCGTGGGTACGGGGGCCTTTCTTGTGGGGGGGGGCTATTTTGGCGTGGTCTTAAAGAAGAAACCAAGAAGGTAGCCCTTCTGTTCTGGTCTCGCCAGTTTGAGACGAACCTCCTCCCATGTTGAGTCCATCAATGGAAGACGCTTCCTTTGGAGTGTAGGGCCATGGTTCAAGGGGAGAGATCCTGACCCTTGCCGAGCAACAGCCTGACACGTCGTTTTGATTTGTTTCTGGTCGGTAACTTGTTGCGATGTGAGGTTCGGTCAAAACTACTGGTACTCTGTGGCTTTCATGGGGCACTCGTTATTTATGTCCACAAAAAGGGGGGACTCCCGAAAAATGTCCAACTTGTCCTTGTAGGACACTTTGTGCAGACTAGGACTTTGAGAGGCTGTCAAAGTGTGGGGTCATTTCCCTAGAACATACCGCTTCCCGGGAGGAGGTCTGACTTGTATGATATGACAATGAGAGGAACCCATGAATGGGGAGGATGGGCTGGGGTGGCTCGATGCAACTAGTCGCAGAGGTTCAGCTGTCAGGAGATCAGCCTGTCCGTCATGAACGAGCGGTATCCCTTCGCGCCTTGACCAATTTGGTCTCTCGCAACCAGCGATGGCTTTCGCTTCAGTGGTCCCAGAAGCTTCGTCTATGTGTTCGACTCAGGTGGCCCACCTCTCCAAAATCCAGGCCCGGGCCTTCCGCTTCCGGTTTCAGCGGAGGTTTTTGGTCCTTCTGACGGCTTCCCTCGAAATTGGTTTGGAGGTTCCGTTTCCCCTTTCACCGTCTAGAACCAGGGCTTCAATCCCTCAAGCCTTTTGGGAAACAAAACGAAACACAAGGAGGGTCCTTTGCTCGGTTGTCGTTGGGAAACATTTGAATGATTTTTGCTTATTGTGGTTTAGTGGGAAATCCCCACTTAACTGCTAAAATTTAAAGTTTTGCTCCCCTTCCAACGTCAACCAAGCGTTGAAGTGTGGGATATCGTGCAGATTCAGCAGGTCTGACAACCCACGGGAAGTCCCCTGCTTCAGAGCC